ACACTTCACATGCTCTAAAGGAAGTTATATAAAGAGTTGTGATTTCATTCAGCATCATTTCAGATGTTTTCATTAATTTGTTCTTATTGTCTTTAAGGAAGATAACGGTCTGAGTATGATTGTGTTGGTGGTATTATTTAGAACATTTGAGTATTTTTTGTGAGAGTAATTTTTCAGATTTATTTTGGGGCTTTTTGTGATTCTATTTAGAGACAGGACAGAGGACAGGGACATAAATCAGGGAGAGAGAGAGAGAGAGTGAGTGGGGGAATGGCGTGCGGGAAGAGCAGCCACAGGTCAGACCTGAACCCAGGCCCCCTCGCCTGGAGGACCACAGTCCCTGCACATTGGGCGCACGCACCAACCGCTACGCGACCGGCATGCCAGAACATTTGAGTATTTATTAAGGATTCAGAATTTGTTTAGTTCGTTTTTGCACCCGGTAACATATACAGTATAAAGATGGACAGGTTAGACAGGATGGGTGGGCGCCAGGGAATGTTTTTTTTTTTTTTTTACCAGACATCCAGGAACTCAGGAAATCACGACAGAGAACACTATGACACATTCATTGTTAGCCAAAATGTTCAAGTACTGCCTGAACATTGAGAAATGATCATCCCACCTCTGTTCTGCGTGGTGGGTTTGATTTTGAGTTTTTTTTGTAAATTGAAAACTACGCTACACTACTTCTTTTCCTGACAGCTGCTCTCTGTGAGCGATACAAATTCTAAACTAAAGAAACACATCGCATATCAAAACTCGTTGAGCCATAACATTATGATAGTTCATTCAGACAACTCTAATTTTTAATTGGTTGAATTATTTATCGCAGCAGAAAAACAGAGTGTAAGTTTGACGTCTCGGCTTCGACCTCACCACTCCTCACAGATTATTTAACATGCAGTGATTTGAGGAGTGATGAGTTAATATCTTAAAGCCTCAGTCAGAGCCTGCAGGTGGGTGCTGGGGAGTTGGTGAGGTTGAAAACAAGAGCACAGTACTCATGTGAGGCGGACTGCAGACCTGAAATCTTGCAGCTTAAATAGACTGCCTTTGTAGTTGGATGATGCCTTTGATTTCACACCTGACATGTCGCTTTATTAATGCCACAGAACAAAACCGTGTAGTTACAGAAGCAAGGTACTGTAGAGTTCTGACTAACCTGTTGCTGCATGTCGGATAGTAGAAAATCTCCTCTTTGCTTCATGTTATTTAAACACTTCATACACTGAAAGAATGATGAAGGCACAGCAGAACATTCTGGATTTTTTTTTTTTTCTGCTTGTCCTTGATTTACACGGATAGTGCTGCAGCTACAACTCAAACTAGAGGATGTATCCGTCCATTTTTGTGCAGAAGAGAAGTCAAACTTACGGATGTGGGCACAAAACATGAAGAAGTGCCTGGGTCAACAGAGAAAGTGATAACCACTTTCATGAAACCTTTTATCTCCGACTGGGGTCGAGCAAGCGAACGCAAACAAAGCCTGCATATGTGGAACTTTTTCTGCAGCCCCCCCCCCCCCCCTCTCTGGTCAGCTGTTGGCTGACACAAACATGCCCCAAACAGCAATTGTACAAAGAGAGAGCACCTGATGTGTGTGTTTAGAGCAAACCCAAACAAACCACATGCTAGACTGCGCTGAGTGGATTACACATATTCAACCATTTGTGTATTTTGCATCAATCTCTATTCCTTCCATCCATTCATTGTCTATACCACTTTTCCCTGATCCCAGCTGACAATGGGCGAGAGGCGGAGTTACACCCTGGACTGTTTTTGCCAGTCAATAACAGGGCTGACCTATAGTGACACACAACACTCACATTCCCCACCTACGGACAATATAGAGTCACCAATTATCCTAACGAGCATGTCTTCCGCCTGTGGGAGGAAGCTGGATGACCAGAGAGAACCCACACATGGATGGGGGCTTGAACCAGGTACCTCCTCGCTGTGAGGCAACAGCACTAACCATCTCTATTCCATGTGTTTGCAATTAATATCCGGCATGTGAGAAGAAGTGTTTCCAGTTAGAATTAGCAATGACAGAAAGCAAAATACATCAAATCACTCGAAGAAGTCTGGGTAGAACTAGAATTAAAACAGGGATTGCAATTGTTCAGTTGTTTATGCCTTTAACTGTAAACTATTAAAACAGCTATCAGCTTCTATTTCTGTGTTAGTGCAGTAAGAACATAGCAGCTAGAAAAGTCGATTTTCTCTGGGTGGAAATGCTCATGACAAGTCAGGTGTATCAACTGAAAGCGTGACACAAACACTGCTGTCAGATGTCAACCTGTGCAGGCACAGAAATCATTCCACTGCAAACAAGGTGACATCCATTTCCCTTTAGCAGCACCACAGCACCAAATACAAGCAACATAACCCCAACTTAAAACTATATGTAGATCATAAAACAAAGTTTCAGGGATGCTGTAATTAGGTGTTTTCATAAACAGGGTGCTGGAAGAATAATCAAGACAAATAATACAATCATTTCCTTTATAATGTGTTCTGTCAGGTGAGGTACAGCCTGTCCTGTTGGTGTCCGATATAATTTATTTTTACATTCTGGCTTATGCTGTGTTTTGCATACGTCCTTCTGATTTCTGAGAGTTTCCCTCCTGCTGCGTTATATAATTCTGCAGTATATTTGTGTCAGACGCTCCAGAACTTCAGGCAGTGAGTATCTGGCCTGCATGCATCTATACGCAGTTTTTATCTTATCAACTCACTCCTTAAAAAAAAAATCAGCTTGTTTCATGCGTCTGTATGGAGTCTGTGGCTAATCGCTTTCTGATTGAACATCCTGTAAGTTTAACTCACTTGCAACTGATGTCTTTACAAGAGAGAGATTTACAGATGAGAACTTGTGACTCATGAGTGACTCATTTCATGAAATCTTGACGCCATATGCTGAACCCAGAAACCTTGCAACTAGATAACCTCACTAAACCATCAGACACTTAAGAAACAACACAAACTGGATACAAAAATCACACTTGCAAGAGTTTCAGCAAAGCATAGACATCATACTCTTTGCTTCATAACAGCTTCACATATAGCCGGGCTGTTGCAGAAGAAGGTGGTACCGACTGTGTAAGGTATTGCTATCAGAATGTCTACCACCTTATCAGGGTCTCAGGTATAAACTCGTCTTGCAGGTTTATTTTTACAAACTTTCTCGCTTGTTTGATGTGGGTTATCTCGCTTGTTTGAAAGTACGTTTGTAAGATAAATGTGATTCGCTCCATCTTAAAGGGATTGTTCGTATGTTATGAAGTGGTTGTCTTACAGTGACTGTACTACCTTCAGTATAAGGTGGTCTGCACAGGCCATGTTTGAAGATGCACACCAGAGAACAAGAGCTGAAGCTACAGGCTTTGTAATGCTGTGGCTTGGTTTTTACGATACTGAAGTTAAGTGTACACAATTTCTAAATATCTTCATTAATTCACCTTGACTTTAGACCGCTTCTCCTTTGACGCAATGTTCTTCTTTCTTATCCTCTTTCTTTTCTTGAAAAATAACTTCCTATGCTTTGGCAGAGTGAAGGAACACAACTTGAGTACTGTTGTGAAAAATACTGTGCCAAATAAAGAGCTGTCTGATACCAAGGGAAAGCTCCTAAGATATATACTTTAACGTGTGTAGCCTCCATAATATGTTGTTTTGTGTGCTTCAAACCTCATCCTCAGCTGTAGATAGCTCGGCTTCCGTGTCTGTATATGTGGACTTCTCCAAACAGAGGCGGTGCTCACCACTATCTACTATTGACTGTATAATAATAAGGACAACATGCCTATGTCGCCGTCCATTGTACAAAGGTGAAGCCAAAATACCCCTATCACAGGCAGTACATAAAAAAGTACAAAGTCTTCCGGGTTGATGCGTTGAATTTCCAGTTTCTGAAGTTTGACATTTCAGGGACGTTGGAGTCAGCCAGAGCCTCCTTTAAAGACTTGATCTACTACAGTGAATAAAAGAAGGACACTTCTGCAGCTTCCAAAGGATTAAATGTGTCTCATATTTGTCCTTTCCAGAAACACCAGGAAATAATTACAAGGAGATATGATGCCTTTACTTCGGTGAAGGGAGCATGAGTCAGACTACAACCTTCCTTTAGGTAGAAGTTAATGGATGTGTATCGAACATTAAAGGAAGAATGTGCAACATTGTACACATAAATATAGCAAAAATCAAGTCAATCCTGTGTAAATGTGTCTCTGAGTCATGACTGTCCACAATGAGTGAGAAGCTCGAGTCCTGCCGGCTGTATTGTTTTCAGCGCCGTGTTTACATGGACGAGATGGCCTTGCGTAAAAAGCTGTTTTATTCAAGGACTAGAGGAAAGAAGAAGAACATACTCACTGATTATTTGGATTGTCCTGTAAGCGTCTTTAGCTCTCAGTCATTCTGTGTCATTTTACATGCAAATGTGAAGCTTCAAGCTAACTCAAGTATGCTAACAATAGCCTGCTAACACAACAATGCAGGTCACGGGCAATTGCAGCTCAAGCAAAGGACAATTTTATGCACTTTGTGCTTAAAGGGGCTTAATTATGGTCTGTTCTAATTCATAACTCCTTCGTGTGAATGTGAGTGGAGAGGGGGTTGGAGGTTTGTCGCTGGGGGAGAGCGGAGGCTGCAGAATAGCGGAGGTGTCGCCAAACAGCAGTTTGTTTTGGTTTCTTGCTGGTGCTCAAGGGCGACATCTACGGATCAAAAAGTCACACCTTCTTCTTTAACATAAAGTCTATGCAACCAACTGTAGGTAATACACTCACTGTTGATGATTCTGTTTTTAAAGTATCCCTTTAAGATGGAGGGAGAATGCACGCTAAACTTTCTTCAAAGAAGAAGAAGAAAAGCAGCACAACAATACAACCGAAGACCACATCAGTGCCTTGATATTTAATAGAGCAACGAAACAGGAACCACTACAACAGAAAAAAACTAAGTGAGAAGAGTTGAAAAAGTGCACGCCCACTTACATTATGTTGCTGTCCCACAGAGCACAGTAAGGGTTCATGGTTCCCTGGAAGAAAGGAAAAAGGACAAAATGTTTATGAAGCTAATGATGACAACAGCTGGTCATCATTATCATCGCTAAAGACAACGGCATATTTGTCCTCTCTGAAGAACTTTTGAAAATGTGTTGTGTAGTTCATGCACATGGAGTGTGGGGGTTATCAATCAGAGACACACACATACACACACACACACACACTTGCTGACACGTCCAGACTTGCATGCACTTTATCTCCAAGATGAATAAAAGGCGCCTGGATCATAAACGGGATTGTCCGTGTAATTATCTGACTGCAGCGTGCGCTCTCCTGACACCGGGTGCTTTGTGAATTAATTATCGACCCAATTAAGCAGCATTGTGTGTTGGCTAATGCGAGGTTATATGTGCCCGTGTTCACGCTCGAACAGACAAAAACGCTTTTCTACGGCGTCAAAAAGGAGCAACAATGGACTTTTTTTTTTTTAATCGGCCCCTAACAACACATTTATATTTGTTGATTTGTTATGAAGGTGTTCAGGCGGGGTCGCTTACATTTGCCAGGTGAGCCAGTTCAATCTCCAGGTGGGATTCGGTTGCCTTGGGCTCAGGTCTCACAGTCACAGCGATGACCTTGGAGTTCACAACTGTGTGGTTCCTGAGTCGAAAAAAAAAAGAAGGCAAAAATGAGAACATTTCATTTTTTTTTAGATGTTCCCTTCAGACACTTTTTTTTTTATCGTTTCAGACGGTCAAGCGCTGAAAATGTAAAGCAGGAGCTTGTGTTTGATATATCTGCTTAGCTGTATTAGCATACTGTATCTCCATTTAAAGGTTACATGGAGCTTATGGATAGAGAGGATGAACATCAGACAACATTCCCAGTGTTTAAAGCTTTAACCCTGGTTTTAACTTCAAACACCTGAGGTCTCTTTTCATGCTCTGTGAAGAAGCATTAACACTGGAGGATTAACTTTAAGTGCACAGTCAGAGAGACTTATGTGGAATCTATAGGGAACACGGCTATCCAAAACCCTGATTCATAGTTTCTGTGGAGACTTTCTGCACGTTTTGAATTCAAATTTCATTCCCCTCTGCCGGGGTCATCTGATAATCCACAGTGCAAGTTCTTCTTATTCACTTTTAAATTTGCAGAGGATCAGCTAAAGGTGTTTTCTAGGGGTGACCCCATACAGTCGAGTATTCTACCATTCATTTGTCAGTCGACTGCCAGTCTCATAGTCGAGTACGAGGATAACTCCATTCCAGCTATTCGAGGGTGTTTAATGTCTAATTTTCTCCAAATCATTCATAGCTCATAGCATCTCTTGGTATTAATATCCCCATATTAATACTTTTAATGCAGTTCTGAAAACCACTCATACTTTAAATCAATCTTATTAGTGTGTGTGCATGAAGAAATCCCTCCAAAGTGTTTATAGAAGCAGCATATCCCTGTTTGGAGAGTTTCATTGGCTACAAGATATGTCACTCATCGGCACAGTCGCTTGCATTTGGCCATCAGAACAAGAGGAGGCACCTCCTTTAAACAAAGGCTCTCATTGGCTGTTATCGGCTGCTTTCAAGTGTCATCAAAAGGTCAGCGGAATAGGGATGTTTTATGAACAGCTCCGTGGCTCTTTATAGATTTAATGTGTTTGGATTCAATCTTTTACTGGATTGAAATCCTGGGGAGTCATTTTTGTTGGATTATTATGATCAGGAGGGTTCAGTAAATATTCAAATGGTGAGTTAAAAAACATTTGTCTGTTTGTCTCTGGTCCGACACGCACACACTGTGTAATATGGTTATCAGGTCATATTAATGCAGACTTAATGAGTGAGAAAATGATGTCCTATCATAGAATGAAATGATATTCCAAGATTAGAAGACAAATAGTTTAATTCTGTGGTTAAACTCAAATGAGAATTTGGATCAATGAGAGAAAAAAATCCAACAAAGCATTTGACTGTCAGTCGACTATAGGAGAAATCCGATGAGTCCAGCTCGACTATGTTACTCCTCAGTGGGGTACAGGCCTAGTGTTTTCTCTAGAGACAGCTTGTATTGAATGCTGACCTGAATACCAAACTCTCAATAACAAGGAGGATTTAAAAAGCTGCCCATTAGATGTCAAAGCAGATATACAGGATGTTTGCCAGTAATGGTGTTCAAAACATCCAAGCAGAGCAGAAAATAGAGAATGAAAATCAAAGGCTCGACCGGACTGAATGGCATGTCTCTTTTCTTTCCTTTTGAAAATCTGGCATTAAAGTCCTGTTTCAAAAAAAAAAAAAAAAAAAAAGTCCAGCTATTGTATCACTGAGATAAAAAATATATTTTATTTTAAGGTGAAATCCATCTGTGAAGTCAGACTTTTAAAAATAAATCGATACCATGAATGGAAATGTTGATCAGTTCTCCACTCTAAGTGCACAGACAGACAGAAAAAAAACAGTTTTCTTCTCAAGTTTAAATCTGACAAGGGAAAATCCTCAAGTCTAAGTTTCTGCTTCTTGATCAGTCTGGCGAGGACGAGCTTCAGGGTCCCTGAATGCACGATGAGCTCCTCTCCACATGTGCACAGAGGGGCCGCTGCCCCACCTGTGACAGCTGGCCCCAGCCCGGTCTGGAATGACCGCTCCGTCCTTGGGATGTTGGTGCCAGGGACTTGTTGATTGGGGTGTGACACCAGGTGTTTGTTTGGGGCTTCATGCTGCTTTTTGCAGGGACTAATGTCATCCTTAATTAACCACATATTTCACGCTGCAGTGAATATGTTTGATTTGCTTAATTAAAGTCAAAACACATGCACTAGTTGTTAAAGATTCAAATGCAAAAATCTAATAATTGATAGCACAAAAAAAGAATCATAAACAACCTAATATACTCAAAAGTTAGGAAGCTATCTTAAATGTAAATATAAACAGATTGTGATGATTTTGAAACATTGAAAAGCCATATTTGATTGAACATAGCACATATTTTTGGAGCTATACAAGCTGCCTGCATGCATCATATCTTTTCAGGGGAAGGTCTATTTCAGCAAGACATCATCAAACCACACTTTGCACGTAATGCAACGGCCTGGCTCCTTAGTAATAAAGGCAGCTCAATACACTGGCCGACATTTAGTTACGCTTATTAAGTTTGTTATGTTGATGTGTTATGAAATGTAGAATTTATTGTTGTTTCTTTGTGCTTATGGATGCTGTGAACTCTTGTATATTGTTTCTTTATGCACTGTTCAGCACTTGATCAGCTGCTGCTGTTTTTAAATGTGATTTTTAAATAGATGTGACTTGACTTATCAAAGGAGACCCTGAACTGTTGAACATCTGGAATCCTTCATTAAACAGGAATGGTAAAACATTTCGCTGTAAAAAATTACAAAAATCAGTCCACTCAGTTTCCAAAACCCGCACAAAGTGTTGTTCAGAGAGAAAGTGACCTGAAGAAGTGGAATGAAACGTATCCCTGTTCAAAATAAAGTCGCTCATTAGGAGCTGGACAGTGTGCAGACCTTGGATGTGCACAAACTAGTTTGTTCTCTTCCAAAAAGAATAAGTGAAGCAACAAAGAGGTAAACGTGACATTTGCTGACTTTTGTGTAACATATTGTTGGCAATATGAATGTATTTAAATTTGATATGGGGATATCAATTTCCAAAAACAATGAAAACTCTCAGTTTTGAACCATTTTCAAACAAATATGAGATTTTTAATGTTTTGAAAATCCTCACATTTTTTAAATTTTATATCTCACTCATCATCACAACATTTTTTGGAAACTGAGTTGTATCAAAAACTATCCTGAAAAGGCACTAACTCTCACTCGCTTTGAGTAAATATGTACTGTAAAAAATAATTTAGTTTTCTGGTTGATACGTTGAATTTCATATTTTTGAAGTGTGACATTTCAGGGACGTTGGAGTCAGCCAGAGCCTCCTTTAAAGACTTGATCTACTACACTGAATTAAAAATGGACACTTCTGCAGCTTCCAAAGGATTAAATGTGTCTCATATTTGTCCTTTCCAGAAACACCAGGAAATAAGTACAAGGAGATATGATGCCCTTACTTTGGTGAAGGTAGCATGAGTCCGAGAGTCTTGTAGAGAACTGTCCCCAAAATAAAGACAGGCGATCCTTCCATATCTGACGGGAGAAAATCCACAATAAATCAACACTGCTTTCAAGTTATTACAATGATTAGACTTTCTTTGCAAAGTGTCAGACAACCTCATTATACCAGTGGACCTTGTTTGCAGATTCTTTTAGTTAAAAAGTACATTTTTTTTAAATCTACATGCTGTATATGTTGTAAGTTTTGCCTTCCGATAACAAGGCACATTTTCATGTATCACAGGAAAGTTTTAATTGGGACTAACACTTGGCTCATGTAGACGGGCTACTCAGCAGTGCCAGAGCACTTTCTGCCAATAACACTTAAGGAATACTTTTTTTTTCCAAAGAGCACAACTTTATTCGACAGACTTTGTTCACTCCGGTGCGAGAACATGCTCAAGTCTGAAACAGAATCAGCGTCTAACACTCTGCAAATTAGAGCAGCTGGGATTATGCACGTGGCACAAATTCCCAATCAATCCCTTGTTTTTGTTATCTGTGATATATATTCCAGATAAGACTGATTACACCAATTAACCAAATTGTCTGGCTCGGGATTGTGATGTATTGAGTGGTTGAATGGTAGCGTTTGAAAGGGTGCTGAGTCGAAGAAAACTCAGTGACTTTAACAGGCACAGGAAAGAAAGCAAACTGGCTCATAGTGACGCTCGTATAGCATTCTTTCACTGCTCCAAACAAAAAGGTTTGCTAACATTAAACACAAAGGAAATAACTCATGCAGAAGACAGATGTGTCTGTGTGAAAAGTCTTATTCAAAGTTTTCCGACAGAGCCATTCAACAAAGATTATTCAGCTTCTGATGAGAAGTCAAGATATTTTATATTTCCATTCCTCCGAGGCGGCTCCTGAATCCATCATCGTCTCTCCTCTATGCATCGATCACACATTCCTACCTCACTTTTCCCTGTAGATTCTACACATTTTTTTTTACTCCAGCTTCTATGCAGCAGTACATTTCACTAGATGAGTAAACATTGTGCTTGAAATCTGTGTTTTTGTGGCTGCGAGAGTCTCAAAGGAAAACGCATTGGACTAGAAGTAGTGTGGTCAGTATCTGTGAAATATATTCAGTCACAAACCTGCTGACTGCGAAACAAAGAGGCCCTTTGGGATGACCACTTTATCTTCGGAGTTCCTGGCCCAGTCGACCATGCCTTTACGACCCTTCATGGGGAAGTTGATGTCAGTCATCACAGACACTGCTGGAAGTCTCTGGATGCTGGCCACTGCGGATATTAAACACACAGACAGAAGAAAAAGAAGGAAAAAAAGTGATGATCACAACACGTCAGAGTATTTGTGAGTTTGTAGATTGTTTCCTGTAAAATAATCCTGGATCAATACATTGAACAGTCAACATATCGGAAACAATCTGGATACACACACTTGATAATGTAAAGAGAAATAACATGTTTCATTTTCATCCTGATGGCAATCAGTTTATCAAATTCCCCCAAAAGAAAAAGCAAATATAATAATCTGCAGCTGTTCCAGTTCAAGTCTGATAAATGATTTCCTATTAAAGCTAACTCGCCTGCTGCTTACTTCATTAATTGCTTACATCCACTCACTTTGCCGCCGATTTTATTTGGATCAAGAGAAGTCTTGATCCAAATAAGTCTTGATCTCAAGCTAAAGCTAGCAAACTAATTTCAAAAGGGACAAAGAAAGGTATTTGGACATGATACATGATGACAAATAAACGGCGCACTGTGCTCCTCTGCAAACTACTCTTTTGAGGGCATGTCATTATTTGAGGTATTTCACTTTCATCTTAATTTGGAGAGTGATTTTTTTCCCCTTTTGGCTACTTTAATAGTTTAACTTTGATATCCTGGTTTCTCCAAAACTGCACACACTGACCTTAATATGAACATTAAAGGTCAAAGGAGTGGGGCTGAAAATCCAGAGTTTTCAGTCCTGTAGCGTTTCAACTGAGCTGTAGAATATCTTCCCTCATACAAGTGAGCTGGTTTTGAACTTTTGGTGCATTGTTATGTCATTCTGGACAGAGCATCATCCTGTTTTCACCTGCTAAATCTCTGCCTGAACATTGCAGATTAGAGCTAAACAGAGCTGAAACTTTCATCCTTCAGAGGTTGTGCAACAACACCTCTGCTTGCACTCTTTGAAGGGTGCAATCTGTAATCCATATATAAACCAAAAAAATACTCCTACAGCCAACAAGTTGGAAACTTTCACACCCAAATTGCGAGGCAGGTCTTTAAATACTCCGGCGAACACAACAAAACAATGACACAGAGATTCTGATGTACACAGAGAGACGGTTTAAGACTTGTTTTAATCAGTAATGTTTGAGTATAGAAGGTTTAAATAGTTTTAAATGAGTATTATAAATTTTTGTAAAGGGACAACCTTGGATGTTGAAAAAACAAGGCCAATGGGACATGCAGTTCCTCAAGTGTCCACTTGAGGCTGGCATCAGAAGTCACATGCACACCCATTCAAAAATGCCTGTTTTAAGTGCAGAAACAAACATGTTTGCAGTCTGGTTCAAAAAAACTTTATCAACCACGCTGTACGGGGGTGAATATTTTTTAAAGGGGTTGAGCTTCCTCGACTGACGGGTGGGCGCATTATGACCTTTAATCAGGAGGCTCAAGACCCACCTCAGCTCTGGTTCTTTGCCTGTTGTTAGGGTGACCGCAAGTAAGGTTGAGCTAGCATTTGGTGGCCGCCATTGATGGACTTCAAGAGTCCCCTTCAGTAACCAATGGGTGACTTCACTGGGGCTTTGTCCGTGTTTATTTACAGTCTTTAGTCTGTACACTGGTAATTTGAATTTCAAAGAAACCCCAGAAAGGTTTGAAGTATTCATGTACACTTTTAGCACAAACAAAACTCAAAGCCCTAACTGGCTCCTGGCATCTGGTAGACGGGTAATCTCCTTAATCACTCGTTCCCTTTTCTCACCTCCTTGCTCAGGTGCTATAAAAGGCCAGAGCGTGCACCAAAGCGATGACAAGGAAAATTCCAGGATCAAACTGCAAAGGCCTCAGCATTACAAGGGAAGGATAAAGCTGTGCTGTTCTTCACCTGATATCACACCCAGCCCCCCCCCCCCCCGCCCCGTTCAGGTGGTGCTACAGCGAGGGGAACCTGAGGCTAATCCTCCCATTGATGCAAAAACCTCTATTGTTCCTCCTGCTCTGCCAATAATACAATTTGAATCCTTGGCAAGACTCCATGTTCGAGTGAAAATCTGTGACAGAAGGTGTGTCTGTGTGTTTGGGATGATCCAGCAGCGGGCATGAAATCACAGAGCACCACGAGACCTGGAATTTGCAAAGAGGCCCCGTTCACAGCACCAGATGTTCAGGAGAGGGAGCGGTGAGTATATCTGAGTGCGTGTTAGTAGTGCGCGTGGGGTTTAGTCACAGGGCACGCTGTGAAACACAACAGGGTGCTAGGAATAGTTCAGGGTAATTCTGCAGGTAAATGGGGCTTTGCACTTGCCTGATGGGGCTAGACAGCACAAATAAAGCGATCATTTAGGATTGCGGATGCTTCCGAACACCGATTCAGTGCACTAAGTGTATTCTGTATGGCTCATTTTCATAAAAGGGAATTATAGCTTGCTCATTACATCCAAATGCGTTCAGCGAGAGGTTCGGCATTAAGTTAACCGTCAAAGTCTGACAACACAAACATTTTGCACAGATAATAAATTAATGAGCTTATGCAGCCATTGTATTGCGTCTGTAATTGCTATTAATCACTATTAACGTCAAAATATTCTCCCAAGCATGAAATGCGGCCCCCTAGAATAAACAGGCAGAAGAAAAAAATGTCACATGATGTATTTAACCTTCAAAAAGTGATTGTTTAATTTTTTTCTAACATGTCCCGAGCTTCACTTTGTCCTCGGGAGTGTTTGCTTGTGACAAGAGAGAGAGAATAAGTTGCTCGGGTGGAGAGAGAGCGTTCTGCAATCAAGGTTATTTGACTAAAAGTAGGAGGAGGACAGAGGACGATGCGCCGGTGACAGCCAGTATTTATCTAGGTGTCAAGAGGCTGCCATAAATTAGTGACGAAATGATGCCGCAATATCTTACTCAGCCAGATGCTCTGCGCTTGGCTTCCACCGATGGGTCCACATAACTTTCCATTCCTTTAATCAAAAGGCTCCGTGTGGACACAGAGAGAGGCACTGTGGTGAGAGAATTACTGCGTGGCTGGCTACCAAAGCCTGTCCTGTGTCCGGGGGGTAAAATGATTACCCCGAGAACTCCCTGTCTGCTCGTCTCAGTCGTGTATCACCAAAATAGAGTTTGTCATACTGACGGATTTTGCAGCCATGCAGGTTATTTAAGACTGAATGAATGCAACAAATGTCTTATGTTCTTATGTGTCTATGTCTGCTCGCCTCACTTTCCTCAATGAAGAGAAAAAGCTGTGAGCTTCTCTGACATTTACAACCTACAGGTAAGGTATGTCGTCGCTTCTTGCAATCTGAAATTCTCTGTAAAAGACCTTGACTTTTTTTTTTTTTCCCACCAGCAGCCATTTCGATTTTTTAGCCAGAGGCAACTCATTACTGCCACATCTTCAAAATTATTACTCAGAAGCCTCTCGGAGCTAAAACTTTCCAAAAAGGCTATAGCTTGAGGAATTCGCCTGCCACACTCTTACATCAGCGAACTGATAAATACCTTGAGGAACCACACGTTCTCTCTCGAAGCGTCACATGCGCTCCTCAAAAGTTATTTAGAAAATGTGCTTGAATGCCAGAACAATGTTTTCTTTGTTAATTATGTGCAGGAACTATAATTGTATATGAACACTTCACTTCATGGCTTCTTCAGATAAATGTCTGATCATGTTGAGTATCAAAAGATTGAAAAAAATCAAAACATGATCATGAAGCTCTTTGAAGAGTTAAGAATTCATTTTTAACTATTATAATTAACTTGGAGCTACATCTAAGGTCATGATTAAAATGTTAACACAATAAGTAATTTTTGAAGAGTTATAACTAACTACAGTACAGCTTCCTTATGAACTCAATCAGATTAATTGATTGTGACAAAAACGAGATGTGTGATACAAATCTTGTCTAAATCAAAGTTCCTGCAGGAACTACTTTATGTTTTAGCCCGATGTTAAGTAACCACAGATCTAAACCTTATTTTGCCAAACATAATATGACAATCCTTTACGATATAGAAAGTCTACCATCTTGCAGACATCGAGTTATTCTAATTATTTAGTATGCAAATGTGAATAATATTCATTTTGTCTGCATGTGTTGTGTACAATTTTAAATATATTATGGTGTTGCTGTTGGTCTTCAAGTAGCTGTTTTGCTCAGTTCAGGCATATTTCTTTTTTTAAAGTTTTTTTTGGCCTTTTTGTGTTTATTAGAGACGACAGCTGAAGAGAGACAGGACCTGTTGGGAGCAGAGAGATTGGGGGACGGCATGCAGCAAAGGTCCAGGCCTCTATACATGGGTCACATGACAACGGCTAGTCTACCCAGGGCCCTAGTCGTTACATCGATACATAATGCTGATAGGTTGATTAATGTGCACTGTCCTTATAAAATAAGAATTAGATAATAACGGGGAAGACATCTTGATTCTGTAAATTCATTTCTAGACAAACTCCCGTTTAAATGCTGCGCCACAAAACAACACATCATCATTTTGATTTAAACAAGCGAGACAGGAACACTGTGGTGGAAAGACTACTTGTTAAATTTGAATTAAATCAAACTAAACTAACTGAATTCAAAAATATCTGTAAATGTGAAAAATGACTTAGAGGGGGGTGATGAATATTTGATCTGCAGAAAGTAAAAACCAAATGCAAAAGAAAAAATAACACATGCAATAACTCCAGGAAAGTTGGTCGGAAAACTCAAACACAATTTCTGAGTTGCATCATCACTCCGCCTTTACCAAAAAGATTTTCTGTCATATCATGTCTGACTGATGGACACAGTGTGATCCACAGTCCCGCAGATTTGAGCGGAGGCCAGAGAAAATCATGTGTATGACGAATATAATAACATTCAAATATTTAACATTCCAGTTGAGCCATTGAATCGGCACTGCTGCTCAGGGAAATAGCATGAATGTGGATAAAACACTTAACTGTCAATTTGGAGTCTGCCTCTGAGAATGGACTGCATATTGTGTCTGAAGCAGGGGTCGTGTGTTAATGCTTTTTCGAGCATTAAGACGAGGCAGTGGCAATGAGATTGGACGACAACCATTAAGCCAAATTGAAATATGTATTAAAAAAAAAAAAAAACGAAGGGCATAGAAATATTCTCTTTATCTGTGAAGGAAGTCATTAAGGCTTGACATTTTGAAATGCATTCAAGCCTTATTTCCCAGCATCCATTACTTAATTTGCCTCTCATAATGGCATTTTGATGGCTGCATTCATTTTATCTTGTTTGGTATGCGATTCTTGGGGGGCCACCTATTCATCATATAGCATAAAGATCCAGTGAGTATAAGTGTTTGCTAGAAGTGGGTCAAATGTTAGCCATTGTAAAGCATACAAGTAAGAACCCCCCCCCCCCAACCCCTCCAGGAGGAATCGCCTACAAGCACAGCTGTACATGCTCACATTCACTGGCATGAATAAATCACAAGCGCAGTTCTATTATTCCATCCCAGTAAGACACCATTTATGGCTGAGTAAGAAATGAAATGCCACAGAGACCTCAGATCATCCAAGAGGCTGTGCGACAGAACCCACGAGAACATCGGCGAGGAGAAGAAGTATTGCTCAACGCCAAGAGACTTCTCTTTTTTTTGTGGGGGTTTTGCAAAGAGGGGATGTTGTAATCTGGATCACAATCGGCGAAGCAGAAGAGATGTTTGCAAGCTCATTACAGCTGAAAAAGCATAACTTGTCATTTTACTTCCAGTTTTATAGCCTTTTATCAAACTCTCCCACTGTACTTTACTTTTCTAAACGATTACTAATCTCGCGGGGAACTGACAAACAATCGGTTTTATGTTGCTGCATTTTTGCACACCGAGCTTCAGCGTCCGCTCTGCTGCTCGTGTCCTTCTTTAAAGGACTGCAGTACAGATCAACATCAGACAGACTGACTTCACCTTCAAATATATGCAACAGATATTTCATTTAATCTCTGAAGAAAAACCATCAATGTAAACAAATAAGCATAAGAAATATGTAAATATTAAAGGAAGAATGTGCAACTTTTTGATCCAGTAGGTGTCGCCCTTGAGCACCAGCATGAAACCAAAACAAACTGCTGTTTGGCCACGCCTCCTCCATTCTGAAGCCTCCGCTCTCCTACAGCGGCACGCCTCCAACCCCTCTCCACTCATGTTCACAAGAAGGAGTTAACAATTACAACGCACTATAACTAAGCAGCATTAAGTGCAAGCGGGGGAAAGAATTGTCCTTTTCTCGAGCTGCAATCGCACGTGTCCTGCATTGTTGTGTTAGCAGGCTAATGTTAGCACACTTTAGTTAGCTCATAGCTTCATATTGCACATAAATTGACACTGAATGACCGTGGTCTAAAGACACTTACGGGACATTCAGATAAGCAGTGAGTATGCTTCTTTTCTCTAGTCCTTGACTAAAACAACTTTTTACACAAGCTCGTCTCGTCCACGTAAACACGGCTCTGACAACAACACAGCAGGACTCGTGCTTCTCACCTATTGTAGACAGTCATGACTCAGAGAGACGTTTACAGAGAGTATACTTGATTTCTGCTGTTTTTATGTGTAAAATGTTGCACATTCTTCCTTTAACAAAATAATACAGATACAAACAACCTTCTGTATATTGTCACAACATTTTTAATTAATCTGCTTCACAAAATTATAAATGATAATGATAATAAATTATTTTTTTTACTTAGCTTGAAGTATTTTCAAATAGAAATATTCAAAAAAAATCTTGTACATGTGAGAAGTACTGTATGTATTTCTTCATAGTTCTGGTTAAGTGTGTTTTTTCCTCTTGTGGGGTCCCCACACTGCACCCTCCTGATATTGAATTTCATGTTAAGTGTTTTCATAGGAATTTAGCACATTAAGTCCACAAACTCGCTTTTAATTAACATTATTGATTTGCAGTAATTTTACTCCCCCCACCCCTCACCACGCGACCCGTTTATCCCAAATTAATGATGGCGGGGAAAATTGACACGAGGAGTCAGCAGAGCACTGGGATTATGTGACCATGTCAAGCAGAAATAAATGGCAGAATGAGCTCAGCGGCTGTGAGCTGTGAGGACACAAAAGAGTGGGCTGATTCTTACCCAGGTTCCCTGTCATCAAATAGGCATTGTGGAAATCCTTCATGCCCAGTCCAACGATGTGGATGAATTCCTCTATGACCTGCATGAGCTCCACAGCTCCCGGATAGATCTACAGGAGATAAAAAAAAAAAAAAAGACACTCAAGATTTCAACACTGCTGCTCTGATTTCACAATGCAGCTGGAAGTTGGTACCACTGGAAAGACGGACGTGTGGAACATTCAAAAAATGGAAAAAGAGCTCATGAAAAATGGCATGACAAAAATAGATATTAGAGAAAAACTCAGAAGTATTAAAATCTGCAATAACTAAAAACAATACTTAATTAGATTTGGAAAAATCGGTAAAGCAGAGATGTACAGGAAGAATAAGTGCACATAAGTTGTTTATAAAGGCCTAAAAAAAAAGAGGATAAAAGTCCTTCAAGCGGGCGACCCGGGTTTTTCTCTCTCTCTCTCTCTCTCTCTCTCTCTCTCCCTTAAATTCTGACTCTATCCCACTGTTGTTTCTAAATATAGGAATTAAAAGCATCAAAATAAAAACCTTAAAAAGATAAATAGCTTATGAAGCCATTTTTATTTTTGTTTGTTTAATTGTTGGTAGTAGGTACTAGTAAAAGTCAAATATCCATGAGACTAAAGGGCAGATAGACACAGCCTTAATTGAACCATCAGTGTGACATCACCATCCCGAGCTTTGACCACCAGCTTTGCACGCAGAGTTGCTGGTTGGCGTCCCTCCTGAAAAGGCTCTGCCAAGTCAAGGGTGAGTGCCTGAGTTCATGTGACGCTCCGTGGACATCAGCACTCAGTGAGAGGCGGCAGAGCCAGGAATTCAGCACCATGGACAGCGACTAGTTCCACTGCTGGTCTGGGTCAGCACATTTCTCCCAAGTCAATAAATCAAAAGGGTGCGCTAATCCAATAAATGACCTTCAAAAGACTGGGCCACTGTCATGGCTGCCAATCTTGTGGTGAGGATCTAATAAGAGGCTTTGATCAGGGGCCATCAGATTTGTCCCTTGAATGTGCCATACATGACAACGTTCACGCCAGACTGTAACACGTTTTGATAAAGTTTCAGCTACACTGAACAATGCTGAAACAACATTTATTTCAAAATGCTGCAAGAGTCATGTTGTGCAAACTTAAACAGAAGATGTGATCGGTCATATGACCATATTCAATCAGCTGTTATTTTCCTCTGAGCTCCTCATGCTCATGGTTGGTGATTAAAATACTGTTATAATGTATTTCTGCTGTGTTCTTCAAGATTGCAGAGATACTTAAAAGACAGTAAACCACTGGAGTACAGAGGGGCGTCAACATTTCTGACAACAGATGATGTTAGCATTCAAAAAGCAAACGTTTGTGAATTCAGTTCACACATGTATGATGCTTTCAAAAGGTAGAGTTAGCATTCAGCCGCCTCCTAGCTAACAGAAAATTGAGCAAGGATGCGGCTGAATGGTAACTTTAGCTTTACCTTTTGAAAGTGTCATAGAATAAATCAAAACATGTCAACTGAATTAACTTTTTTAAAGACAATCAGCTGCTTTAAAATTTATATCAGCGAGGAATTGAAAGTTTTTAAACATCGTCAAAAGGTAGTGTTAGCCACTTCCTTGTTAATGGAAGAAGTGGCTGACTACAAACTTTAGCTGTTGTTTGATGATAGTTAACAGGTGTTCAAATATGTTTTAGCTTTAAGATATGATAATGTAGGTGTCCCTCCAGATTAGAACTACCTTCTGCCTTCTCGGTGCTTAGCATATAAAAGATGAGTGAAGAGACACTGATTGAGCGAATCTCTGAGTTAATGCATCGTAAAACTTTAAGACAAAGCTCCACATAATTATAATAGCATTTAAGCTAACACTCCTGATCATGTGCTCAAAGAAAATTATGAATTAGCCTTTGAGTGATATTTAACAAGTGACATCTCGCCCTCGTTTGATATTTAACAAACACCCGAGGCAGGTATTTCCCTCCTTGGTGACACCTTGTGTTCTTGTGCGTGTGCACATGCCTCCACATGTGTCACCGCTAAGCCAGGCAGGCGGATCAGTGATGCTGAAGATGAGAGCCTCTGACACAGCAGAGTGAAAGCCATAGTCGGGGGGGAAGAAAAGCACATCACGTCGCCCCTTCCGGCATGTCTGACGCACAGTGCAGTCATGCTCATTCTGCTGGGTCTCCATGGCAACCGTGAGATGTGAAGGCAGCGCAGGGAAATGGCTGCAGTGGAGGTTGTGTAGACAGAGCTCTCTTCCTTTCCCTTTCCTTTCCTTTCCTTGCCATGGTAACAGTGACAGGAGGTGAATATATAGTGATCCGTGCACAGAGCCAACTCCACAGCTAGTAAAAAAAACCTCATAGTGAGGTGTTTCATGGGAGTGTGTTTTTTTTTTTTTTTGAATGTCCACAGCAGCAGGCAGTGTGTGGGCGACGCGGAAACAGAGCTCAGGACACTCATTAATGCAAGAAAAAGCAAAGCAAGTGCGAAAAATTGATAGCTGTGAAGTCCAAGCCTCGTCTTTTGAAATCAGACGGCCTGACTTAGCTAGTGTCTGCCTGGTGAAATACCGAAAAAATGAAGCAGCCCTACTAGACAGGCACATTAATAACTACAGAAATAATTAACTCATATCTCTTCTGGGTGCTCAATCATAGACACAACTATTCCTATATTTCCTCTGATCCGTCTGTTTTCATCACAAACACACTCTAGTGGTGTTTTGTGTTGTTCTTCTCGACAGCAACCTTTCTTTTTTTGGTCTGCCAAGCTGAAATTGCAGTGAATAAACACCTTATTACTGCCTGTAGAGACCGCCAGGACTGGCACTCCTGGCAAGCATTTGAACTGCTTGTTTCCCCTCCATTGTTAGGTAAAAGTCGAGCACAAAGAAAACGGAGACAACAATTTGATCCGACACCTCCTTCGGTTGTGTGTTGGTCCAGGTGATTCCTAATTTAAGTCAATTTTATCGGTTGAGGTTGACAAACGGAGCAGATGCCCTCTGCAGACTCGCAGTCATCACAGATGGTATCTCTGTCAGAGTCTGGATGTTCGTGATTTCAGGGTTTCAGGTCGTCTCAGACACCAGTGGCGTTTTTTTGAAAACCTGGAGTTGCCACCTCTCAAGCTGAGAGACGCGTCCGACAGAGGACACAGCCAGAAGGCAATCTCCATGGATAAGCATGGTGTCAGGAAAGTGAAGTGTTCTGCACGCAAATCTTTCATATAGAGTGCTGCAGTCTGATCCACCCGGCATTTCCTGTTTTGGACATCGAGCCTGTTTGTTTCTATCATACTGTTTCTCCATATGATGAAGCTGCATTGCAATGCCAGAGAAAGGCAGACAGTGAATTAGAGCTGCTGTGGTACAAGCGATGAAACATACACAATACAATTCACCTGAAGAAATGTTCTTATCACACTGGTGATGTGATGTGAATCAGCTGGGTGAAACAATGTGTGCAGGAGGACTGAGTCCTGCAGTGCTAATAGCTGGATGGTCTCTGTGGCAGTGCTGCTGCCACCAAGTGGAACTCTGTGGAATTGGCTCTCAAAACGAGGCCAGATGTCACACCTGCTAAACGCCCTCTCACAATGATATGTGTAAGTATAACATTATCTCCACTCTAACCCCCGACTTTTCTTTATCTCAGCCATTCAGAGAGCGACTGCAAAAACAAGCTCTGAGTCGATTTTTTTGAGAGAAAACAACGCTCAGCCTTCCAACCTGAATTATTTACTAAGTGTGCAGCAACATGCTTACCTTCTGAGCGTCCTCCCATTTCTCCTTATTTTCCTCCTCCAAGAGGTTACTGATGATTTGAAAGAAGTTCTGTGGAGGAGATGAAAGGGAAAAATAAGTAACACACACACCCACACACAAGTATTACAGGCACTGCAGCAAGATGCTTTTTTTTAAATCATGAGACATAAACACTCAAAAAAGCCCTCTTATGGATGATACGCTGTCATTTCTGATCGCAGGGATTTTCTATAAGGGAGTAATGACGGTCCCTGCGGGGGCTCAATAGCACCAGGAAATTTGCCGCTGAAACCATGATGGTAAACCATCCGAGGAAAAGATGGAATTTGTGGATCAGCTTTGACAAAAATACACCTTGAACCCCCCTGCAGCTTGCAACAAACATTTAATGCTAGAGGTAGAGAGGCACAAGCTGCAATCAGAAAAAAAAAATAAAGATGAAAGGGAATGTGTGAGCAGCTGTGTGGATTGTCTTCTTCCGCGGCAGAGAGCCGGTGCTGCTTGGGGTGCAAGCCTGCAGTAGTAATAGGACCCCTGTCTGATCTTTAGCCTTGTTATTTCGTCTGGTCTACAACATGCCTGAGGGAGTGGCTCTCTCTCTTGACACAGGCTATCTTGTTTTCTACTTGAATGCTTATGCTCCCTCTGGTGGTAATGTGCCCACTTTAACACTGCATTAGCGCAGAGACGCACGGAGGAGGGGGGTGGGCTGGCTGACTGCTCTCCTGTCTGCCCACACACACACACACACACACACGCACACACACACACCATAGAGCTCACATAATAACCAGGGACAGGACGCTTTCCTCATCTCCTACATTTTCGATGGTGTGAAAACGGCTGAATGGGGTCTGAGGTTGCCAGACCATGGCTGGCACATTTAGTTTTTTTTTTTTTTTTTATCCCTGCAGAATATTAGCAGCAGACTCCTCCACCTCGTCATCCTGTGGAAAACTGTTGATGAATGTGCAGAAGGAACAGAGCATCCATGACATTTTGGCGTTTAAATACCACTGCGCTTTTGAGACGCATAATCAAGAAAGTTTCACATTTTGGTGATGTATTTACCTTCCTCTCAAACTGAAAAGCATTCTTTATAATAATCACAGCCACAACATATGACATGACTGTCCTTAATGTACGAGACCTCTTTTGAAGTCTGCTTTCTCCAATTGACCAATTTTAATGCTTTAAACTTAGGACTCAAAGTAGCATTAATCAAAACAACAGTTCTCACATGACGACTGGTTTCATGTCTGATAAAGCTGCCTTTTGTTTTATAGCTCATATATGTGTGTGCTTCAGAATCCATTGCTTCTCTTTGTGTCCTTGTAATATTATTATACATTTGATCATGCATCTCTTTCTCTCTTTATTTCTTTTTTCTCTTTCTATTATTATTATTATCATTATTAATCTCATTCTTATTACTTTGTATGCTCGGGTTGGTTGGTCTACCTCGTCTTCCCGTAGACTAAACCACTGGCATAGGGGGTATTCTCGGTCTACTTCCATCTTACCTACCTCAATAAAAGGACTGGAAGTTACAACCTTCGCTCCCAGGATTTATACCTTTTTAAATATCCCTAAAGCCCGCACTGAATTTGGAAAAAGGGCGTTCAAGTATGCTGCTCCCTTCCCTTCTTGGAATCGCTTGCAACAAGACACTCTAAATCTTCAGAAGATGGTTTCTTTGGATGTTTTTAGAGGTCTCCTTAATGATCTGGAGGCAGGCATATCTGCCTGTATATGTTTTTAAGTGACTCTTATTGCTCATTTTTTTTGATCCCTTGTTGATGAAGATTTATGACAAATTTTGATGACTGTTTCTTGTATTTTGTGATTCCTTTATTTATGTTAATTATTGTTTTATGTCTGAAACCCAGTATATTGTGCTGCTGCCTGTCTTGGCCAGGAAGCTCTTGTAAAAAAGATTCTTATCCCAATGAAACTTTTCCTGGTTAAAGGGGGCATATTATGACAAATTAACTTCTACAGAAAATTTGATTTTTTTTTTTTTTTTTTAGTTTTTGAAATATTTTTGAGTAACCTGAGTGTCTACAGACCCACAACATGTGAAATAAACCCATCCAGTCCTTTGTTTGTGGTCTGCATAAGTCTTACAACACAGAGAAAAATGCTCTGTTTCAGATGTGCTCTCCTTGTGATGTCACAATGGGATTCTGATAAAAAATTCTTCTTGCTAGCGAAGGAGTGATGTCTACCAGGAAAACTCGGGGGGGGGGGGGGGGGGGCTCATTGCATTTAAAGAGACACACACACCAAAACGGAGCGTTCTGAGAGAGCTGGTTTATACAGGGTCACAATCCTCCTCTGGTGCTTGATTCATGTTATATTTTGACCAAAGCACAGCACAGATGTTTCATTTAGACCACAGGGGACTGTTTGAAAAGGTGGAGGAGGGGGATAATATGTCCTTTTTAAATAAAGGTTAAATGAAAAAATAAAAAGTCATATTTTAAGCATGTGAGCTAAAACACTCAAACAATGCATCTGGTTTGTCCAATGTAATTGTGATGTCTACGTTGAATAAAAATCTATCTTTACAGTAATGACAATCACAGTAATTGTAGTTATTTTGGATACATGTCATCTACCCCTTCAAACCTAAAAGACAGTCAAACAAGCTGATATTTGGAGTTTTTTTGTAATACAACAATTATTCTGTTTCCTTTTAATAATATGTTATCTATTAAAAGCAACCTTTCCAGTGTAAGGAAACAGCCCTGAACTTTCACATCATTAAAGCAGAATATATTTCTACCTTCATACAGAATTTGGCTGATGGGCATGACTAATACTTTTCCAATTTTCCTTCTCCTATTATTCATCTCGATGCAGTGAGACGACATAGCAACAAAGCAACTTGCAGAAGAACTACGATACAGAGTCTTTCACTAAAACAGTCACAACGTTTAAAAGTAGCTTTGCTGTTCACATCAATCGAGAATATAACATTCATATCCTCTCATTTAGCTCAGTCTGAAAAACAACAGGCTAACACGCACAAATCAACATACAAACATTTCAACAGGCAGGCATGCAGGACAGCACAAAGACCCAAAGGGAGCCCAAGAAGATCGTCTTTGAAAATGACACAGCTGGAATGCCATAAATGATCTTATTGGTGATGGAGGCGGAGCTTTAGCTATAATCTCCATCATCCTATTGACATAAAGAGGATCACGGCTGCAGTCAACCCCAACATGATGAGATGAAAGAGCTTAGGATGTGGAGGAGATCTCTAGATACAATAGAGCCATGTGTGTGTGGAGGGTTTTTTCAGCCTTTGTGCTATTTCAGACATGCTAACCCCCCCCCCCCCCCCCCTTTATACCATTGTTGTTTGAAAATGTTTCAAACATTACCACTGTCCATTTCAATTTTTTTCTCAAAAGAGATGTTTTTTTTAAGCCACCATACAGCAGGACTACATTTCACACAGATCCACACACGTGTCATGTGTCCCATGTACAGAGGCCATAGTCCTTGTCACAGCGGCCGCGGGTTCGATTCCGACCTCGGTCCTTTGCTGCATGTCATCCCCCGCTCTCTCTTCAGCTGTTCTATCCAATAAAGGCAAAAATGGCCCAAAACTATCTAAAAAAAAAAGAAGAAAAACCTCACTCTGTTCTCTCACCTGCACATCATCTGAAGACGGCTCGTAGCTCGCTCGCTTGAAGGTCTCCGTCACATTACGAAGGATTTCCACAGAAGACAGCAGGTCACCGGCGTAGAAGTTCCTCCTCTGGGTGAGGTCGAGCAGGTTTTTCGTCACCTGGGACATCCCGTCCCCCGCCAGCATCCTCTGGCCCTTCGCAAGGTGCCCCTGAACCTCCAAAAACAGGAGAAGAAAGAACTTGGGGTATCGGTGTTTTTCTTTTTTCTTTTTTTATTTCAGACAGATGCTAAATGTCACATTTTGGAGTAAATGGCGTGCAAAGAAATCAGGATGAAAGTCTCAACTCTCCGAGGCCCTTTATGCGACACTTATATCTAAGCCGGGGCCGAGATATATTCTGCCCACGGATGTTTTGAAAAGAGCCAATATGAATAAAAGAGTTAACTGGAGCAGAAGACACCCACAATTTAGAGAGAAACTGCAAAGTGAAATGAGATTTCACATCATTGCACCGGGTTTATGTGCATAAATACAGGTTCACAGGTGCAGCGCTATATGTGCTATCTCAGCTATTTTGGAATTATTTTATTTTTAACGGTGTTGGAGGGTTACCAACTGTACACACTCGAGTGGAATTGCTATTGTGTTTCTGGGCTTAAAGGCAAACATACTGATGCTTTGATGTATTGAATAAAGATATCTGAAATGGACTGCAGACTCTTCGTGATCCAGGTGTCTCTTGACCTGATGCTCCAATATAAAGCATGATTGTATTAGACTGAAATAGAAGCTGTTAAATATGTGCTGAAGTTCAAGTGAGGAAAGACACTTTGTCAGTGCTGTTAAAAGGAGCAAATGTGATAAAAAGCTGAAGCAACACTCTGAGAAGACGCCAGAAACTCTCAGTCAAACGGCTTTAGACGATGACCATTCATTACACGGAGAAAAAAATGGCAAAATCAGTGTTTTAATTTGCTCTTCTATTGAAAGTGGTTAATCATTGGCTACAGTGTGATGAGAGAAGAGGGTGGGGGGTGGGTTGAGGGGGTACACGGGGGAGGTAATTTATGATGCATTGCAAACAGAGGCTGTGAAAAGGGAGCTGACTTTGCACCTACTGATTGCTGCAAGTATCTGAATTCATTTGTTATGCATCGAGCATAGCTAGGCTGCTCCCAGAAGGCCATACCGCGGTGATCCAAAGAGCAGCGTCGACTAGTGGTGCCTGCAGAGGAGAAAAGAGACAGCGACAGATTTGGAGAAGGGAGGGGATGAGGATGAGAGAGAGGGGATGAGGATGCGGGTGTGGAGAGAGTGCAGAGGGGGTGGGGCGGGGGTGTGGGATTAAGACCAGTGGAGAGGCAAAATAAAGGATAGGAAGTGGAGGAGGACAGGGAGTTTGATGCAGGGGGAAAGAGAGAGAGAGAAAGAAGTTAGACAGTAGTATTAATTCTTTTCAAGAGCGATTGATCTTCTTCCCTTCTGTCCATTTCTGTTGCCCATCACCATCACTCACCATCAAAATTTGATGTAGCCCATTAAATTTTGCAGAGGAGTTGAAGCACATTTGAGAAAAGAGGGCAAGAGGGCTTTCTGGAAGTAAAGTGCTGCAGTGTTTGATAGTTATAGGATACCTTTGTCCCAACAGGTGAAACAGAATCAGACATATTTGATTGATCTCCAGGAGGACATGTGGGCGTTCCCGTTGCTTTTATACAGAATATAAGCAAAGGATTTCAGATTTAAGCATGGAGATACAAGATATAAGGAAGAAATCTGTAGAATCCATCACTTATATGTACAACATAAAATACAACACAATATATAGAAAGAAAGAGGAACATAAAGGAAAAAAGTAAAACAATCTACATATATGTGCCTCCAAAAAAAGATAAAATGCTGAGAAATGTGTTTTGTAATTTAAATATAAGAGAATATTGTTTAAATAGGAGGTGTATAGAGACATTGTTTGAATGACCAGTATCAGGCAGTATTAACAGAACTGAAGCACATTTTGATTGTTGCTCAGTTGGTTTAACTAAACAATTGTTGTCCAGTTAAGTGTCAGTGTTGCACAGTTGGATAAATGCAGAAATAATTGTCTAGTTTATAGATTCGGTGTTGAAAGTTTGAATGAAAGATTCTAACCCTCAGAGGGAGGAGTCGTAAAGTTTGATGCTCACAATCAGCCCGTAAACAATTCACATGAAGTCTGAAATCAAATATATTGTGATGAATTGCCCTTTTTTTTTAAAACCTCAAAGAAATTATCAGTCAATATCTGTGTAATCAAATTCTCCAAAACTACTAGACTATAAAAAGATGACAATTTCAGTCTCATCATATAACTTTGTGATTTGTTTTTGCACTAAAAATGGGATGGACGAGCAGAAAATATGCCCCCAAAATTGTCATCTAAAGCTTCCATTAAGGTTGTATGATCAAGACAGACTGAGCTTGTATCACAGTCAACATAGTCCAACCAAACTCCTAAAAAATACAACATGCATTTTGAACTCTGTAATTTGTATGAAAAGTTATGCATCCTCTTCAGCAAGAAGGTAAGGTGCAGGTAAATGTTTTTTAAAGAAATGCTTAATTCTTCTATTTTCTATTCACCTTCAGATTTGTATCCATACAATATTAGATCATCACATTTCACAATGCTTTACTGCTTGTATGCGCTTTCCCCACCCCACCCACCCTGGACCAGAGCTGGTTGTTCATTAGTGTCACAGTCTCATGGCTTTTAATATGTGTCCTTTCACGCCTTGTTAATACAACTTGCAGTGGAATATTCAAGCATGCAGAAGCTCAGCGGTGATAGCTGTCAGGCATTTAAACAGTGATCCCGAAATAGCAGAACCACCCAACATCCGCCCACATCGGCGTACACATCGTACAGAGGGGGACGACATCACACCTTCCCCCAGCTGTCGACCTGGTGGAGTGCACTTCACACATCACCCCGTCGCTCCAACACAGGTGCTTGACATCCTGAGGAAAACTCCCACAGTACAAAACATTTCCCCCTGGTGTCTGTGCTTCACATGAACCCTTTGCTATCTCTTGTTCTCTCTCTCGCTCTGTCTCTGTCTTGTGCACACTAGCACACACAGACAGACAGAGATCACAACCACACCTCCTATACGCCCACCTTCTCCACTGCTTCTACCTGGCTGTATGCAGTGAAGCCGCAAGTGCACACAAAACTCGACAATATGCAGGGAGTGTGGGAGCGCCCATGCCCATGCACCATGAGACAACCCGGGGGGGGGGGGGGCAGCAGGAGAGGCCCACAGCTTTATGCCACACTGAGCATCTGTGTCCTTCCAAACTGGCTCCACCTGAGCGGTTTTTCTTTTTCATACCAGACCTCCTACTTTGAAGGATAATTTCACATATTATTTAAACCCTTTTTTTTGGCCCTCACACTCCAAAGGTTGTTAAATAAAAAAAGGTTTTACTTTCATGATGGCTTCATGCCTAGAAATAAGGCATACACTTCAGCGTTTTTTGGCCGTGACATTCCTAAAGGTCACTGTATACTGAGAAAAAGGTTGTGAGGTTTAAGTGGAAATTGGCAAAAAAAAAGCAAAAGCAAGAGGAAAGAAGATGTCGCACTCAAGCACCGTTTTAATTGCACGCTCCCAAAAAGGAGGAATCTTATCAAGGAGCAGCAGAAAGATTTGTTTTAAGAATGTTTCCTGACCTTTAGTCTGCTTTGCCATCCTAATGTGAATTCAGCAGCACTGAAGGATACAACCCGCCCGAGGACAAAATCATTGTGATGTGAAAATGCTTGACCAGAGTAATTTGTTTTGGTCCTGATTTTAGAAAAATAAAGCATATGTTGTAAGAATTCTCACTTTCAATATTTTCTTTAAATTTTTTAACTTTTTTAACTCTTTTAACCCTCTATTGTTTTATTATTTAGAAGCAGATCTCTGGGCTTTGATCCATGTCCGAGGTGGGATCAAACAAGGTCAGAGACAGCGACTTGAGGCTTCCGCTTTGATTCCGCACCAATCTGTCATCTGTCCTTGCATCATCTGTGAAGTAGAGTAGGTTGAGTATGAAATATAGGTCAGTGGAGATGCGCTTGATCAAAACCAAGGCTGCACTCCGCCGAGGCACTGACCTGTCGCTGTCTGGTTTCACAGCTTCCTGAACTCGGCTGCCATTAAACGGGGAGATTTTATTCAAAGAATGCAACCCAAAGACAGAAGGCTGAGAGAGCAGCTCACTGGCTGAGGAGTCGGAGATAAGACGGGGGTCTAAAAATACTCTCCGAGAAGTACTCTTGTGGAAGAAAAACAACCAAAAATCCCTTCCTCCATTACATAAAAATACTGCATCAAGAGTATGCATGTGCTTAAATATCACAAACAACATGACCTCTTTCATTCTAAAGGATGGCGCCTTGTGAGTTTGAGGAGTTAAGACGATCATATTTCTCTGCCTTAGCCTGTGAGGAGTTTTTTTTATTTTTTTTAAGCTTGTTGTTTTGTTTTTAATTGCTCCCTCTTTCAGTTGGGTGGCTTGAACTTTAATTGAGATTTGGGGCTTTCATTACACAGATGCATAAGTAAGGGCACTTGAGCTCTCGCATGCAAAATATCTTCTGCAAAGTAACATCGGTTGTTGGTAGAATAAAAACTGCAGGTTGAAGAAATAAGCCAAAAATAAAGATGCAATTCCTCTCGGTTCATTTTAACATGTACATAATATCAAAACTATTGTTTATGCACTTATATAGAGAGCTGCAAAGCAAATACAAAGTAGCATTGGTTAACATTTTCCTACTGGGAATCATTATATTTGGCACTAAAGGCAGACTGTGCGACATTTTACACATAAATACAGCAGATATCCAGTATATCGTCTCCTCTGTAAATGTCTCTCTGAGCAGAGATCCGCTGTCTGTGATGTTTTCTGAGCCGCATCGACATCGTGTCTACATGCAAGAGACGGATACGGCTCGTATTAAAGCTGTTTAAGTGAGGGACTAGAGAAAAGAAGAATAACATAGATGTACTGTACTCACTGCTTATTTGAATGTCACTTAAGCGTTTTTAGATTGCTGTCATTCCGTGTAAATTTACATGAAATGTGAAGTTACGAGCATAATAAAGATCGCTACCATTAGCATGCTAACACAACAATGCAGCTCGAGACAAAGACACTTGTGCTTCATCGTGCTTAAAGGCTTTATGTGTGATTTTTTCATCCAGCAGATGTCGCCCTTGAGCACCAGCATGAAACCAAAACAACTCACGCTGCATTGTTGTGCTAGCATGCTAATGCTAGCGATCTTTATTATGCTGGTATCTTCACACTGCATGTAAATTTACCTGAAATGAGCGTGATCTAGAAACATAGTTAAGCAGTGAGTACAGTATGTTATTCTTCTTTTCTCTTGTCCCTCAATTAAACAACTTTTATACTCGAGGGGAGGAGTCAGCCAGCTGTCCGGGCGATGTAAACAAAGTGAAGATAGGACTCTGAAAACTCTGAAAGCATCACAGACAGTGGGACTCGGGTGTTACACCCATTGTAGACAGTCATGACTCACAGAGTTATTTTCAGAGGATATACTTGATTTCTATTACATTGAAGTGTGAAAAATCACATTTAAAGCCTTTAATTAATGTGCGTTCCAATTTGATAACTCCTTTGTGGAAACACGAGTGGTGAGGGGTTGGAGGTGTGTCGCTGGAGGAGAGCGGAGGAATTCAGAGTAGTGGAGTTGTCTCCAATCAGCAGTTTGTTTGTTAGTTTTGGTTTTATGCTGGTGCTCAAGGGCGACATCTACAGGATCAAAAAGTCTCATATTCTTCCTTTAAAACACTGTTTTTCTTTTCCTACCACTTTTATTTAATAGAGTAATACAGAACATGAGCGTGCAAGGACAAGTATGCAAAAAAAAAACATAATTAAAGAAACTCTGAAAACTGTTTTCTATCAGTGCGTCTCTCTGTGGTTTGCTTTGGCCTTGAAGAGTACCCAGAAGTCACTGGTCTCTTCACGACAACTCTGACTAGTTGGACAGCAGGCTGCTGAGAACGGACTTTGTGTGTTTACCAATGTATGAAGCTTTGTGTGAGTGATACAAAGTGAACAAACTCATCTGCTGCCTTTGTGTATCCTCTCAACTTTTTCCTCCCTTTCTCGCCTCTGGTGGCAGTTGTCATCCCCGATGACCGAGGCGCCGCTGACGCCCCTGCCGCACTGGGTGCTGTTGCCTATGATGACCTTGATGACGACAGTGACCACGGCTGAGTAGGCGCTGACGCCCCCTAACTCATTTGGACGCCTCGCCCAAGCAGTCTTGCTGCATTCACGTGGCACATTTTGTTATGTCGCCTCGGCTGATCAATATTTCATCTGTGTTTACTCGCTCTCGGTGGCAATTACACGCCTAACTGTGCTGGAGGAGGGACATGCGATTGTGAGGGCGTTTGGTTTCTTTTCACATTTTTTCTCATTAAGGCTTTTGTGAGTTTGACCTTGATCTAATTACAGGTCAGAGTGAGAGGTTTTGTTTTCATTTATAGATTCCTAACGTGGGCTTTGTGAAACCGGCTGACACTGAATCAGTGATTAATGGCTTTACAAATAAACTTGACCTGACCTGAACTATTGTCCATCATGGTCTTTCTTCCAGTGGACAGTGCCGGCTTTGCACAGGCAGGATGATGTGCTGTGGATAAACATGAAATATGTCTGCTATTTGTTATTTTAACCGTCACATCAGGATACTGGTCTGTTGCTGCACAGGATATTCAAAGTCCTGGTTCTATTTTCTGTGAAAGGATTTTATTAAAATACTAATTTCTGATCTTTTTCGTGCACATACAGCACCACTCCAAAATGTTCTCTAATCAGCATCTCTACATGCATGAATTTCTACAAAGGCACACCTCCTTCTAATTAACAAGGTACTGATTTAGTGTTCACTTTAACAAAATCTAATTTAATGATTAAAAGTATAAAAACCTTCTTTTGTTTTTGTCACCAAGACTGGCATAACATCTCCCAACAGATGTGAAGGACTTAAGCAGAGTATTAAAGACGCACAGAAGATGTAATTAAAAATCAGATTGATTCAAACATAAGTATTCTGATGTTTAAAAATGTATATAAACTCTGAAAAATATTACATCTTCTTGTTATCCAACCTGTCGTCATCTTCTGCAAATAAATGTTGTGATGATGCATTTAGAAGCTGTGGAGAAATCTAAGTCCAAACTCTGTTTTAATCCAGGTTGAAGAGATTATTTATTTGTGTCAATTATTGATTTTATTGGTTCAGACTTTGATCTCCTATGGGCCCTGATTGGTGGGACCATGAGCACTTTTATCATTTTTATAATTTCTTAGTTTTTTTTATCATGTTTTATTTGGTTTTAAACGCCCCTTGTTACATCTGTTTTGTAATTGGTGTGTCATGATGGATGTAACCTGAACCTGAAGCAAAACATTTCTAAATGGCAGAGCCTAAGAAAAACCTGTTTTTGAAGTGGCCTCTTCATATTTTCCGGAAAACACAAAGCCTTCAGCTTGAATTTTTTCATGAAATGCCAGGATGTATTGATAAAAATGAAAAATTAAAGCACAAAGACTGCAGTACAGCTCTGTCCTAAAACAGTCTGTGCTAGCTCTGTAGCAGAATCTGAATTTGGTTTAATAAAACCAAATGAATCATAATGACCAGGAATCTCAAGAATTCAAAAATCAACTATTTTTAAATTATTTTTAATGTGATTAATGAAAGTAAAACTCCTCAATAAAGAACACTAAATGGTTTGACTGAGTAAAGGCGACTCACTGCGACTGACTGTCTGACCTGAATGTGGCACATAAAGACACCTTAGGGTTTGAATTAAATTCCTAATCAGTGAAAGTGCACACTTTCCAACAACATTGCACAGTTAGGAGGGGGAAAAAAACAAAAACCCAAAAAGGCTTTCCGGTGGAGCTGGGAATAGCTTCAACGAGCCAAACATTTATTAGCCATAAAACTAATGTCAAGGCGGAAAGCTAATGTCATGCCAGTAAATCTCTCTCTGCCTAACTTTGCCGCAGGTAAGCCATCTGTGAATGACAGCGGCTTTCGCATCTCTATCCAGTTTGCCGGCTAGCTCTTTGCACGGTGTCGGAGGAAATGTCAAGTCAGCGAGGAAAAAGTTGACAACAGCTTACCATGTCTTATCAACATGTACCTTTAGCAGCCAGCAGCGCAACCGTGTCCTGCTTTGTTCGCACGCTGACCTTCAAGAAGGACAAAAGTATCACAGCAGCTTTATAAGAGGATGCATTCCTTCTTACCCCCCCCCCCCTTCCTTTTCCTGATTTTTTCAAAAGCCGAGCCTCGCCCTGTGAGAGAACTCGCACCCTCTGCTCTAATTCTCCTCTCTCCCTCCTACCCATGTTGAAAGCTTCTGCTTAAAATCTGAAAAACAGACCTCGGTGAGCTTTCTCTTCGAACAATGCGCTAAGAATCCGTTTCCATTTCTTTCCATCCCTTTGCACAGTCTGTGTACTATCAGGTTTGTACTCAGAGGTGTAGCCTTGAGAGACACGACTGCATGCGGAAAAAGGACTAAGAGCTTTCTCCTCAAACTATGCAAACATTAGCAAGGCTACTTAAAATTACAAGTGCTTGATGGTGGCATATACACCATGACATATCTTTCATTAGCCGTCATTAAATCCTCTAAATGTAGCCTAATCACTGTAGTTAATACAACACGTGTCTCAGACTGCTGACTAACTCTACAAAATCACACATATAACTATGTTTTTCTATGTTTTTACTTCAATGGGAGGACAGCTTTTTATAATTTTAAACTCATAAAGATGGATTTCGCATTAGAGTAGATAAACGTTTTTTATAAAACATGGATGCAGTCTGAATGACCTCACCAAAGGCAGTTGCCATTTTTAGAGTGGGAGTTAAGCCTCCTAGCAAACAGCTACAACACACCCACCTGTCAGTCAAAACAGCCACACCACACTCCTTCTTAGGCAATTTATTTACAACTCTCAGGTGTAATAAAATCAAAACGGATAAGTTATAACAAAAACACCCCGTGTTCAGTGTGTACCAATGAAGCTATCAATACCAGTTAGGTTTATTTTCCAGGCTGTAAACTTGATAAATCCTGCAGTTCAAATTGTCGTTTTTAAACCTTGGTGTTAATGGAGCCTTCTGGGCTTTTGCAGCCGGCCCCAAGTGGACACTCGAGGAACTGCGATGCTTGATAAGGCCAAATCCTTATCCTGACCTCTATAAATGCTACTTTATAAAACATTATGCTTCCGCAATCAAAAGTAACATTACAATTATAAAGTTATTGCTCATGTCCTTGGAAAATTTTTACCGCTTGGTTTCACTGCTTCAGATTTTTCACAGGTTGGAATATCCTCGAAACAGCCAAAGGCGATTGGGGAATAAAACACCAAAAAAAAAAAAAAAAAAAAGATTTTCGTATAATGATTTAAAATATTAAAATGTCAAGAGGACAGAAACTGCAGAAATAAATTTTCACCTTCCTTCCCTTTTCCATGTCTGGGATCATCTGGGTACTATTTTAAGCACAACACTGATAGTGATAATTATACAATAAGAAAGGGCAAAATGCATGTTTGAACCTTACCCTGATATTCATTTCCTGCCCGGTGATGACATAAAGATAACAGCTTCATCTCACGTCTCTTACCTGTAGCATTTGGTGGACATCTGTTAAAGGCCAGTTCTCCTGAAGGCGTCCGTCTCCACACCATCGACACGGCGTAGTCCTCAGGACAAATCTCATACGGTGCTGAAAAAAAAAAAAAGGCGAAAACCATCCAGGTGTTACTACATCAATGCGGAGAGCTTTTCAACATTTCCAATGTGATGCAACACTTTCTTCATGTTTGACATAAATAGGTGTGCGAATATAGGAGATCAAAGCTGTGTAGAGTTGGTGAATGTGTGCAAGACATTCAAGGATTATAACACAATGTACCCTCCTTTGAATCACACCTTTTGTGAGTGTAGGCTCCACATAATTATAATAAAAATGCATTTTAAAATCTGCATTCTCCTCTTCAGAGACTCCAAGAATTAAAGGACTGCATACTTCAGAATCCACTTCAATAAAGGTTTTTTTTTTAAATCATACAACAAGCTCTGATGATTAGAAATACACTACTCAGTGTGTCTCCATTATGTCGACCCAATTTATTAGAATATATTCACACTCGTTCATCCCTCCACTTATCTGCATCTCTCCTTCAGATTCTGTTTTTAGCAGGAGCGGAGTTATGTCGTTCACTCCATGGAGATAATGGTCTCCCTGCTAATATTCAAACTTAAGTCTCATCATGTTTTCCGCTCACCTGGACAGCGTTGGTCGCTGCACTTTCTGACTTCTTCTCCGTTGCCATCGCACTGTTGCCCGGTCACCGCTAACCCCTGACACACCCGGACTCGCCTCTGCCAGCCGCCGTCGCAGGACTTCGAGCAGCCACTCCAAGGACCCCAAGGGTTCCACTGTCCATTAGCTGAAGCGGATTAATTCATGGTTAGAAACAGATACTCGGCAGAGGCATTACATCTGCCAACAAAACAGAATCATACATCGCTACGTGTGATTTGTCCCTCTTAAACCATTCAAGCCTATAACTAGAGTGTGACATCAAAAAAAAAATCAGTTTTCATTACGTTTTTTTATTTTCATCCATGCATTCACTTTGTAGCTACAGTTTATCAGTAATATTTAAAAAAATATCATTACTTTGAATATTTAGGATGATTTTATGGCTAAAGAAGCGTCCCCGTGTGTGGTGAATATTCCCTCACTTTGCCGATATTAAAATGCATTTATGCTGAAGTTTCCAAATCCAGCAGCATGTTTTATGCCCTTGTGATGAACACTGTTTAATCGAGCATTTGACAAAAAAACAGATGCTTCCCTTCAGCGATGTAGTAAATCACACGCCCTTGTCTGAACGGAGAGGTACAACACCCTGTGAGCAGGAAACACACTCCACTCGTTTTAACCTCCACTTACCCCCCTCCTTCCTCCCCCTTACATGTACGGGGCTGTTTCCTGTCCTACAACTAACCTCTGTCAGGAGGACTGCTTTCAGAAGAGAGAGTAAAAAAAAAAAAAAAAGAAGCAGAAACCATTGTGACCTGTTGGCTAAAACTATCTGCAGACATTGATCAAATCCCAGATGACACAGGAGGCAGGCAGAGCAGCTGATTCATCAGACGGACGCATGCTCGTGAGATTCAAAAAAGCTTACTGTGCCAGCCGTCCTGCAGGAATCCTTTCAACATAGCATTGTCACAAAGAGTAAAGTATTTTACCTGCTTTTTGTAAAGTGTCTCGAGATAACACTTGTTATGAGTTGAGGCTATACAAATACAATTGATTGATTGATTGATTGATTTAGCTAAATCTGAAAAAAACAAACACATATTGCCTTGAACTCTTCCTTCTTTCTGCAAAACAAGTCACGGACATCGTGCTGGCTTTGTTAAATGATGGCTTCCACTGCGCAGTCTCACTAATGTTTGATCTCTTCCTACCTTGGAAACAACAAATAAGAATTGCTAAATAGGTAGGCCTCATTAGATGGATAAATTGTATAATGAATCCTCTTACTGTGAGGCAAACAACAGCGTCTCCTACCTCATTATCATAAGCAACAAACTGAATGTATACATATGTACACACTATTGTACAAGAGAACACATGGTCGGTGGAACTGGGTTACACAACATTTCCCCAAATAATTCCTAACATTTGGGGGAGGAATCTCTTTGTCACACGCATACAAGAGGAATAAAGGATGAGAGCCAGATGTTTTATGATACTGCTGGGGAAATAAATTGCATCTGGAGATTATGGGAGTGCTCAGGCCCTTCATACAATCAGACTATTGAAAGCCTGATGGGCTGGACTAAGCTGACATCTTTGAGCCTCTAATACATCTATGATGTTGACAGGCAGTTTTGGACAACTAGCCCTTGAATTATACGTCGGGTGTACAGTTTATCTAACTGGATTGTATAAATCCAATTGATGGAGCACGGTCTCTAAACATATTCTTTTATTCGTCCGGCAAAGCTTTGAATTTTTGCTGCTTCTCGGTACACAAAAGCAAGAGTGAAAACAGGCTGCAAATTTCATCTGAAGGGTAATAGCAGTGGTTGTGGTACGCATGTTTGTAATAATGATGCTGGAAATATGGGATGTGCTGTTTCATGGTGTCTCCTTCTATGTTAAATTCATGATTTTTTGAATTTAGACATCAAAGCGGATATAGAATTAAGAGGCTCAGGATTTTACCTGTGCAGTCAGGATTATGGCACTCTCTGCTTTCTGCCCAGTGACCGCGACACTCAGATCCCCCATGGGCGGCCGCTGAGCACTGCCTGGTCCTCTGCTGAGTGCCATTGGCACAGGTCACCGAGCAATCGCTCCAAGAGCTCCACTCCTGCCACTGTCCGTCCACTGAGGCACCAACACAACCCAACAAGCATGTCCCATGTGAAGGAGGGGAGGGGAAAAACGGCAAAAAAGAAAAAGGAGGGGAGATATTCAGATCACTATTCTCTCTCAGGTTGATAGCCAATAAAAAAAGACATTAAGTGGAAAGAAAAGAATTACATGGCTACTAGATTTTGGAGAATTGTCCTGCAGGTTTTTCTGCTTCGGTTAACTCAATACAGGTTAGAATTTCCCAGAATAGCCGCGGGGAATTGGGGATTGAACATTAAAATGTTTTCTTGTTAAAATTTAGACAAATGCAAATGTCAAAGGCACAAACTGCAGAAACTATTAGCCACCGGCCTTCAGTATTCCCAGGCTAGGTAAAGAGGGAAAGCATCAAGGATTGAGTGGTTTTCACTTAGTCTGTTACCAGAGCAAAGCTAACATTTACTGTGTGGAAAAACTCATCATCACTAATCTGCTTACCATTCTCAGGCAATTTCGGGTAAGTGATTTTGACGTCAGTAACACAGCGTTGACTCTCTATGGGGTCTCCTAAACCCGCATTATTCTGAGAGAGCTATTACGTTAAATGCATCACAAAGCCTTGCATTCATTCAGTTTTGTACTCACCTTTGCAATACTGTGCTTATTTCATGTGGTTGTGTCTAAAGTAAACTTCTTCAGAATTGCTCTTTTGGAAATAGATTATGATTCAACCGTAAACATCCGTCTACTCATCATGCACAGGGAGAATTATTATTATTATTTTTTTTAATATATTCAAAGTGCAGATTATACCTGGGCATAGGGCTATGTTGCAAAGCTTAGTCTGGGTCTCAGGTCCATCACAGGCCCTGCCTCCATGCTGGGGAGGGGCACACATCCTAGTCCTAGTGCGGTGACCTCGGCCACATGTGAATGAGCACAGGCTCCACGGTGACCACTCCTCCCACACACCGTGCACTGAAAGGGCACAGAAAGGGGCGTCAGGCCTAAATCGATGTCTCTGTCGCCGCAATAGCATAAACAAACCTATAACAAACCTCGGTGAGCCATAAATGAAATGAAATCAATCGAAAACAATTAGCGACAGAACTAAAGTAAATGAAACACTGAGCACACGGACACTGTGGGGCTTCACAATGCCTCAGACACTAGCTTCAGCCAACTCAGTCACAATCTTTATCCTACACACAATAACAATAAATCCTATCCAGTAGACAACTTTTCATGTATTTTATGGCATAGGATACCAAAAGAATCTCTTGCATGGCAGAAAACTAGCTATCACGGCTGAGGAGAGGAGCAGCAAGGCCTCCTCACTGTTACAGTTTCTGAGTCTCCGTGGTTGACTGGGGCTCTAATAGCAGTGGTCCTTCAGGTTAATGTGGGCTGAGTGGTGCTGGGAATCTGCTGCGACAAGAACATATTCATCATGGCTGCACAAAGAGCCGACATAGGAAAAAAAGAACAAGCTTCAGACTTCTGACTGTGACTGACTTTGAAATGTAGATGTTTAGCCGAGCTGTTGGTTTTTTTTAAATAACCATTTTAAATTAAAACAAGACTAGACGGCCCAATTCCAAGAGAATATTTAAACACAGAACTTTTTCTCAGTGATGTTATTTTACAGTGTTTGCTCATCAGATGCGTCTTTTTTTAAAATAAAGTTTTGATTGTTTTAAAAAAAAAAAACTGATTTTAAAAATGTATGCAAAAACGTAATTTGCCATGTTTTTTATTTTTTATTTCTAATCATTTTCTGCATTTCCCTTTGAAATTAAAGCTATAATATGGAAGAAATTCAAGGTCTCTGAGTGCAACTGAGCAGCTGAACTGTTGTAAAAAAACAACCGATGCCCAGAGCCAGACTTGCAGCTATCAGTTTTCGGCGAGCTCTCACAAGTGAGGAAAAGCCGTCCAATATTTACTCTAGTCCGGCTTCTTGCACTTTCTTTTTCTTATCTTCATTAGTCACCGTCCCTTTCCGTCTCTTAGCCTCAGACATTGGATCAAACCGCAACAAGATGAGCTCACTGGCTTCTTTTCTAGCTGAAGGCTGTTGTGTGAACTAGTGCCGTAAAGCTGGCTCTACAAGGCGACCGGGGGCGCTCTGTGGAAATGGGATGGACGCCATTCTCCCTGTTGAAAGTGATTGTACTATTAGATCGACTTTAAATCTACTTTTTAAGCTGGGAACGTTACATACTGTTGCTTCATTTTGCTTATTTTCTGCGACAATATAACGGTGCTGATAATTCAATTATTTTCTATTTAATTTCTGAACAAAAGCTGTAAACGAGGCGTCCTTGCTCCTGCATCTTGCCATGTGTGTAAGCTGTCCCGGGTTCACGCTGACAGATGGTGAGTCTTAAAGAACTGCAGAGCATATTTGCTATCGACTCATAGTTTGACACCGAAGAGGGAAATGTGTAAATCTAAGAGTCATGCAGGGCTAAGACACCGTCTGTCATGTCTTTGGCTGGCTCTCGCACTGTTCCTAAATGTACACAGTGATGTGGAAGAATGAACAAAATGTAAAAGTCTAACATCTGATTTTAGTTCATGTTCATGAAGCAACTGCTGTGTTCTTGTTTCAATATTTAAAGAGCAAATAATGAAAGAACTGCAAGCTTTGAAGGGAATAAGAGATTTTAAATTGTTACAAACTCGAATCAGACTCGCGCTATTTTTAATACCAGAAGGTTTTGTCTACTTAAGATATATGCCATGTACTAAATACATTATAGCTGCAAAATCCTTGTTTTCTAATCAGCTACAACAGAGCACAGGGGATTGCACTAGGATTAACAGGCTGTGGGTACAGCTATGCCTGTGTGTTTACAGGAGTTTCACATTTTAGGCAAGAAATAAAAGGCAGCATTTGCTGGAACTGGAGGTGGAAAAACAGCATATCTGGTGGCATTTAATCAGCTGTTAATTGCACATGGGATTTAAGAACTTTGTTATTTAATTCAGGAGAGTGATGAGGTCACTAGCCACAGCGTGTGCAGAGGCTTTAGGCTGCTGCGTTACAATATTTGGACCTCAGGATCAGTTGCAGAGTAGTTGGATCTTAGGATCAAGCCGATGGTCGGTCATGAGGCGAGCCACCGCCTGTCCCAGCCCCTGCCTTTAGGCGCAGCTTTGATGCTTTTAGCGGAGTGTCCCGTGGTGGCCCGAGCATTTACTTTGAAAATTTTCGAGTTCAAAGCAGACAACCACCACAGCTAGTAGCAATGATGGAATAAAATTCTGCTTCTTTGTGTGTGTGTTTTTTTTTCTCCTCTGAAATGTTGGCCACGATTTACAGGGGCGGCCATGAGCAATCACACTGTGCTGCTAGAGGTGAAACTCTTGGACCAGCAGAAGACGGTGTGGACAAATGCTTTGCCAAGGATGTTTTTTTAAAATTTGTTTGTTACTCATTTCTTAAATGTTGGGATTAGAGAACTATTTTCATAATGAGTGCGGTTTTACTTTTCTAACTTGTGAGCCTGCAGCTTGTGCAAAAGTGCATCATCACACACTAATTAATAACTTTTTGCAGAGCTCTGTTTCAGGTTATGTCCGCTTAAGATGAAATGGTAAACACTGCTAATAGGAAATTAGTAGTTCAAGGAAGTCTTACACCTGCTAAATGAAGATAAAGGATCAATGGCACTTAAAAATGTATTTAACCACCATTGATTAATTGACAGTAAAAGCTGTAGGAGTCTTTGTAGGTTGATACCAATTCTTATAGTTTATATCCTATCTCATTAAAATTACTGGTGAGATCATGATCATTTTGTATTTATTTCACACTTTCTTTTACTACTGCGAAAAAATTACAATATACAATTACAATTGCCATAAGACAGATATTCTTTCAATTTCATTTTTGGTTAATTACTTGTTTACACTAATTAGTACGCCTACAGGTAATGCGTGTTGAACATGTCTTTGTGTAAGAACATTTCCTAATTAAGTCACTTCAAAATGCAACAGTTTTAGACTGAACCTCCAAGATGTTCTTCTGATTATTGTTTTGTTTTTTTGTCTTTGCACCTGCTCTGTTGCCATGGAGGCAAATTGCTAATTTATTCCTGTCTTTTGGAAGAAAGTGACACTTACCTAACAGACTATACGAAATGATTACCATATTGGGTGTTTTAATACAGCTAAAACCTCCTGTGTGATATGAGGCTTACAGGTTATGGCTGACGTCACAATGTCCAAATAAGTCTTTAACTTACTCCAAAAGAAGACCCCAGAAAACAAATGTATCCTTCTGGCAGCAACAGCTCGTCTGTCATGCCACAGAATCAAAACTTTGCGCAACCCGTATAAAAACCACACAAGAAAATAAATACCTGCCAGGTGACAGCGACGCGCACGGCTAGCTTTGTTTACGCTGCGTCACCGACGCGTCTGCGCATGTCCGAGGAAGTGGCTCGCGTTGCTAGCCGTGCCCACTGAGAAGCAGGGAAGGTGTGTGTCTTCTTGTGTGTTTTTATTCTCCAGAGGAATTAAAGGGTATTAACTCTTTCTCACGTGTTGATAGAGAGATAAAATAAGATAGTGCCTTCTCCTGACAACTGACAGACGCCATAATGACTTCACCTGTGCTTTAACTGTTACCTGTGCCTAAAACGACCCTGGCTGTACCCCAGTCTCACCTGAATCACACATAGGGACATCTGTTTTACAATGAGGTTGATAAATTGAAATAGGATGATTAACTTGCTCTACTAAGAGAAGTTAATGCCTCATTACAATGTATTCTTTGCTTTAGTTTAAAAACTAATTCTGGCACTAGATGTAAAATCCTGTCAGATATAAATGTATAAAATTCCTAAAGACTCAATTCAGGATTCAGGACGGGCAATATATCGAGTTTTTAAGATGTATATCTTCAAAGTAGATACAATGTAAGACATTATTGTTTAAATATTGAGACAATGTGTTGCATTAAAATAACTTTACGTGTTTATATTTCTCCTTTCAGTATCTGTTGCCTCTCCTCCTGCCCTCCTCTGCCTCTCTCCCTGAACAGAGCTTAAAATGACCTGCATTATTTATGTATTCTTATTTTACTTAATTACCATTTTTATCTTGTTTTGTTATTTTTAATTTCATCAAAAGTTTTTTTTTATTTTCACGTTATGTTGACATTTTGCAGCTCGCTGTAAATATAAGTGTCTGTGTGACATTTGACGTCTGGCTCATGTGGGTTTCACTGGGGACTGACTTTGTCCTTTCTTTACAAAAACAAAAATCTATATATATAGATAATATAGATATATATAGATATAGTGTATCTCCATTCAGCTAGAACCATTGAGACATGATTTTTGGTCCATATCGCCCTACACTCATCTGCTTCCCTTCTGCAGAAACACTGCACCATAGTAGTAGAAGAAAGGTTGAAAAGAGAAAGTACTTTAAGTTGTCTATCATAAAGCAGACATCTTGTTGTATTTCCACAGACATCTTGTGGTGGAAGAACGTCATCAGAACTTATAAGGAGGCCCACAGTTTCTGACAACCTCCTTGATTTCAGCCTGCAGCGCCGGCGCTCACAGACGATGTTGGTGTGTACACAGCAATGGTGACTGTAAGGTAAGGTGTGTTTGAGTGTGCAAGTGATCTGTCTTTAATAGAAGAATTCTTTGAAGGTATCCTTCCATCTCGCAGACAGCAGGCCGTTTGAAGAAAGCAAATCGATCTGTCTGCCTTACAGAATATTAGATATAGACTCAGTGTTTCATCTGGCATTGTTCCATATGAAATTATTATTTTTTTTTTACCAGTGTGTTTCTGTAACAAATGTTGGTGCTATATTGCCTCTTTTGTCGAGGAATACCTAGGGGAAACAACTTTTCATCTATAGTTTTTTGATATAAGGAAGTGAGGAGGAAACCTGTCATGTATCGGATGTTACAGGGAATGCAATAGTGACAAAGAACTGTGACATTTTACACGTATAAAAAAAACTCTTTATCTTACCCTGCCTATTATTTTCTCTGAAAATCAACACTTCTAACGCAATGTTGCTCAATGTGCTAAAAGTAGAAATAGCTTTGCAGATGTCATGTCATGTACCTTTAGAGCCCACTTATTATGTGAAAGTGTTTCTGCATTACGACGTGAAAGAACGTTCTGGATCCACAATCAGCCGTGAGCAAACAGGCTGCAGGGTTTTGAGATGAATTAAGGAACATTATGATGATTTGAACCAGCAGGTCTTTAAGTTCTGTTTTTAAATTATTAATTAGCCATCATGCAAATGAATGCATACACCTGGAATTGGGCTGTTTAGCTTTTCCGTCCTCCTTAGAAAAAGGAGCTTTAATGCTGTCTGAGCTTGTTATTAATGGCCATCGAGAACTAACAATAAGACTGATATTTAGGCAACTGTTTCTTTGAGATGACTCATTCTGTTTTTAGCTCATAGTGTCCAAGTTGGAAGAGTGAACACGCCTTTAAAGATTGACAATTTGCACATACCTAATGGAAAATGGAATACAGTAAATTATGAATCAGAATGTCAGAGGATGCAGCTCGCAGTGTTTTTGATCAGCCTGTAATTACTTCAAAGTTTGTGGTGCAGACTGTGAAGCACTTTAACAGCGACATCAAGGTTTTTGACTAAACATGATTTCAGAATCTCATTACTAAATCAACATATTTGCCTGTGCAAACCACCCAAAAAAATTGGGATAGTGGTGATTTGTTTTTGAACGGCACGCTGTCCTGCCAGATTTCTGCAGACAAACATGAGCGCGCTGCAATCACCAGTCAGAAGAAAAGCGTCTGATGCTGATACCTGACTACCAGTGACTCATCTTCGCTGCCATCACGGGTTGGGGAAGAAATGCCTTACAGCATGTTTGAAGAATCGCTGCCTAGCTATTTTAAAATGCACGGCTGACCTTCAAGGAAATGAAGCTGACAACATATCTACTGCTCCCCTAGCTCCATGCAGAACCACATGTCATAAAAAAAACAAAACAATTTCAACGCAGATGAATTGCCCTTACAGTTATATGAAATGGGGAAAAACACAAAAAGTGAAAATGAAAAAAACAGAAAAACATAGCCATAAAAAAAAAGCATCAAGATTTGAATAGTTACCTGCAATAGTTATGAGAATACATTTCACAGGTTTGTTAAAACACAACAGTACATTTCCTCCCAGAAACAACAAATGAGCAAAACATCAATATTCAAGAATCTGCGGCTAACACTACCTGGACAAGGGGCAGTGTTATTGCAAACCCTTGATTCTCTTAAAGGGCCGATGCAGTGTGTTCCGTATGGAGAGACACATGTTCTTGTTCGCACCTGCGACCCTTGACCGCATGTTACAGAGCATGAGCTCCACTGGGACCACTCCTCTGCACCTGTTTCACCTGTGTGGGAGAAGGGTGACACTAGTTAAATGCAGCAATATGGTCCCTGTGCAGGGCTTATGGGACAGGGCAGGGCAAGGTGTCTGGCAGGGTTTAGTAGAAAAGGGGGAGGGGCCAACATGAGTCACTTTGGGAGTGAAGTGGGGTCTTAAAGGAACTCTACTGTAGGGTCTATACTGCCTTTATGTGATCTTTGATAAATACTGAATTTGCAGCATCACTAGCCCGGCTTATTAATAAATTTGCATGCCCAAAAGTAGTGTTTTTGTGTCTGCAAACTTTGTGTAGTATCATTGGCCTCTATAATGTAGTGGAGACGGGTACATTTCCAACAACTTTAAACGTGCATTTATGCAAAGATCACAGAGAGGGCATAGCTTAGATCATACATTAATAATCAGCAGACTTCAGGGTTGTATCTTACTGTTTTCATTTTATATTTAAAGAACAGAATTCATGCATTTTAATAAACCAAAAAAATTATGCTTTAAAGAAACCGAGAAAAAAAAATCACCATAAACAAACGAAAATGTAATTGGAACTTGATGGCATGCAGGAAGGATGAATCTGAGGAAAAAAATAAAAATAAAATGGAATTGAATGGGTGTTAGTTCATAGAGAGGTCTGAGATATGGCTTCCCTTGTGCTGCAGCAAACTTATCTAGTTGCCTTGACAACGGAGGAGCCAAAATTCTGCATTTAAGACGATGGGTTTTCAAATAATTTTCCGATCCATCTTAGCCCGTTAACTCCCAGGGGATGAGGAAAAATGAGAAAGTTAGCTGGTTTTTATTCAGCAGATCACAGCCATTTTCATGCGTGTGACTGTGGCTCAAAGCAGTTTTGATTCTATTCAAGTTTCAATTGTGAGTGCCCAGAAGGAAATGTAACGGGTAAAGCCACAGAATAAGAGTGGTTTTGGGTTTCTATTGTGCAGGCTTTTGCACCTGCATAAAAAGTCTCAGCAAGCAGACGTTGAAGTAGTTTAACTCTGCATGCAGACATATTGTCATTAAATAATCATAAAAAAGGCATTGTGGGAGCAGATCAGTAACGATAAGGAGGACCAGAGTTGTTCCCGTTTATCTTAATAGCTCTTTTGAGATAGATTACAAAGAATAACAAAACCTTGAGCCTGTCTGTCTTCATGCTCCAAAAGGGTCAGATATCAAAAAGCCGTGAAATGCTAAATAAAGCTTTACATTATGAGGAGGCAGTGGGGGTGATTTTCCAAAGCCATGGAAGCCTACATGGAACCAAAAAAAAAAAGATTACATTATTTGGTGACTTTGTTTACTGGACAATCAAAACCCCCTGCTTCAGAATAGTCACCAAATAATTGATGTTTTTTTTATGTTTAACCCTTGGGTGAAGTTGTAATTTTCATCGAGGCGTTGTGCACTGGAGGAGTAATTTAAGTCAAAGACAAAAAGTTTCAGTTGCAGCTCTGAATACATTTATGTCATTAAAAGTCATCGAATCATTTTTTAGACTTTTCAGCATGATATGCTTTTAAGTTGTAACCTCGGGATGTCATATCAAGGACTTATTGATTCAAGCCAAATAGGGATCTAAAACCCTGTCTTAATTTTGCAACTCATAAAATCGACTGAAAGGTGGATCAATTTGTTAAATGAGGCAGTACAGGGAGAGTAAATAGTGTGAGAATGGGAAACAGAAAAGCACAGCGATGCGACTCGACAAGGGGAGACGACATACCTATACAGCGTGTGTCAAATGGAGAGGTGTTAATGGGGTTCATGTTAGTAACGGCAGGTGTATTGTGTGTCGCAAATCAAAAGTGATCATGAGTGGAGTTTTCAAACAAGGACAGGCATTTAAAAAAAAAAAATGGAAACCACACATGGAAAAAAAAAAATCAAAACATTCCCCCCCCCGACAAAAAAATAATCAAAATGAGGAATAAAAAAAAAAATAGCTGCTCGATCTAAACCCACCCACTGAAAAAGAAGAGAGAACAGAAACATCTACATAATGAAAGCAAAAAAAAAGTTAAGGCTTTGATTTTGCTCTCACTCATTCCCAACACTGTCTGATTTTATTACAACAAAGTGAAGGTGATAGGTTGTAAAAGTCGTAATGAATTAAGAGTAGCTGAGTATTCATTCATTGGATGTTCCACTTGATTAAGCAGAAAAGCTTCATTTTATCTCTTAAGGGCAGCATCTATCAGTTTAACTTTTGCCAAGTATGTGTTTCATATTTGGCCGAAGGGGGGTGGGTTTTTCATCGAATGACATTTAATTTATCATGCCTTGGAGGTGATGATTAACTACATCAGGGCCCTTCGTTTTTTTTTTTTTTTTTTAAACTGCTGTTTAATTAATGTTCTATGAATATACTGTATGACTAATCCACTCACCAACTCGCTATATATGACAATAAAACAAACAGACCCCCAAAACCCAATTAAGCTCTATAGTCAAAGCAAATACTCAGAGAGAAATGGGAAGATTATCTTTCTACTCCATATGTAGCGGTAGAGAATGAGTTGGAGGAAAAATAATAATGCAAAAACATTTCCACTTAAAAAAGGTGCAGTACAAGAGAGAGAGCATGCATGATGAAATTAAGTTTAGTTAACAGAATAAAGAAACAGAACTAGTGTATTACCAGTTTGTGCCATAAATTTAGCAGATTCAGCTTGCTCCTGCAGGGCCTTTGTGTCATGAACTGATCTTGGCCGCTGACTTTTTACAGTATGCTCTCCGATCATTCCATATTCTATGGGACAGAATAGAGGTTCATATGAAAGCTAGGCTTAAACATGATTGTCTGAGAACAAAAGCTTATTACATACTGTTTTTTTTTTTCAGGATGTTTGAAACAACTGCAGTACATGGCTAGAAACAAAGACCACACAAGTTTGTATTTAATTTTTTCCACTTACACTAGGGCATAGACCAATGCAACGGATTTATAAGGGTGAGTTGGAAGTATTAATTGAGCTTGGAAGCACAGCGTAGACACATAGCAAACATGCAAATAAACTCACATTGTTTTATTTTTTTAAGAGTCTAAACCTTCATCGGAACCAGCTCCCTCCCTCCCTCCCTCCCTCCCTCCCACCCGCCTGCACACCCAGTAAAAAGAAATGAAACGAAAATGAAAGTAAAAATGTGTAAGCCATCAGAAAGCCACAGAGGAGGGGGTCATGGACATAACATGCTATTGATCCACAGTTTCCTTTAAAAGTTTCTCATCTTTGTGGGATTTATCTCTGCTGTACCCGGTCCAAAATATAGTGAACCTTTTTGTTAAAAAAAAGAAATTAGACAAATGTATTCTGAGCTGTATTCGTTACAAAGCATGCCCTCTTTGTTTCCTTGGAAGGGACAAAGAGACAATGAGTACGATGTTCTGATGCCACACTGAGAAAAATAGTGCTAGCAATAAAGCATTTGGGTAAAACAATTAGCATAAGCTGTTTAAGTAAACTTCATTTATTGAACTTACTGAAACAGCTCATGCAAATGTGTCTCGTTGAAATTAAAAACTTGCATTACTTTTTGCAGTGTGGTCCTAATGAGGTGATTATATCATTTGCAAAAATAGGCAATGCAGGTGATGCATCAACAACAGATTCACACATAGCTTATGTTAGTACATTGGACAATACAATGCATCAGCCAATGATAAGAGAGGGATGTTTAAGTCGTTTGTTCTGATGTATTTTGTGGCCTCTCCTGTGTTTCCTGCAGCAATCCCAGAGAGACTAACCTCGCTCAAAGTGACGACGACATAGGTAAGAAAATCTGCCCCTCTCATCTGATCATCCTCCTCTGAAAGCTGAAAGTTTTACGGCTAATTATTCGGTAATCAACTCGACGACAGGAGCAGACAGTTTTCTGATCCATGCATCATACGGCGGGCATTATCTAGATCATATCAACAAACATGTTCCATAATTGGATTAGGAAAATAAATAATTAAAGCTAAGTGAAAAAAGAAAAATTACTCTGGGTTTTTTTTCCCCGCTCCCCTTCCTTCCAACTATCGGGAAAACTCTCTGTGTTTGCATGAACAATGAGAATACTAAAAAAGGTAAAATGAAAGGAGAGAAGGCCGCCAGAAAACAAACACTGCAGCCCCCTCGATGCTGATTAGGATCTTCAGAGCCATTTTTCCGCACAGTGATACTGGCTTCACAAGCGTGTTCAAAGGTCTTTGGATCCTGTTTGATCGTGTCCAATGTCTGTCTTGCTCAAATTAAGCCGAAAAGCCGCAGTGTGAGCACAGAACTATGTGCTGGACAGAGAACATGCAGGTTACACTGATGGCCCGGACAAACAGCGGGGTCGTTGATCTGATTTTTACACTCGTGTAAGGCTAACTGACTGCTGTAGGAAATGTTGACATTTTATCCCTGCACTGCGTTTCTTTCTCTATCCTGTGGTGTCTTGAGTCATCAAGCAACTCCTCACTTTGCAGAACAAAAGGAGCGTCTGATTCAGTCAGCCTGAGTGTGTGCTACTTTGTGGGAAATGATACAAAAAGCAGGGCACACTGCTTTTTTTTTTTTTAAATTAATTAACAATCGCCAAAATAAACACTTGAAACTCTGAAATTGTGGAGTAGCACTTGGCTTACTATTACTATCACTTTGTGTCTTCTGTTGCCTTTTTTTTCGGCAACATTCAATTTTTAAAATGCCAAAAAAATCATTGAAAATATGCTGAAAAACACCCCATTGTCTATAGTTCAAATAGTGTTCACAAGTACAAAAGACAACAGAGGCCTACAATCTGTAAATATCTGAATATTTTTTACTGCAGGAGTCTCGATGATTTACCTTTTTATAAAATAAATGTGTAAAAAAGAAAAAAAAGATCAGTTCTTCTATCAAGGTGGACACATATGGAGCTTGAGGCTATTATATTCCATAATGACCCGTTTAAATGCTAATCAACACGACCGGCCTCACATCATTGATCACAGCTCAACTCGCACCTTTGAAAATGATTTGCCACTGCAAAACATTGATCAACTAAGCCTATTAAAAAGTGATATTGGCCCTCGAGTCAATCTCACCTAATCTAATGCGGCGCTCGGCTGCTGTGATGAACAATACAACAAAAGCGTTTCACCACAAGAGAGAGATTATAAAAATGTCATTAGGCGTGATGTCAGTTAGACTCTACGATGACAAACAGTCGTTACAGAGCCGCACGCTGTATGAATCCAACTTCACACGTTTTTTTTTTTTTTTTTTTAAATAGAAGTGTTTCAGCCTGATGGAGTCATCGTTTAAGGGCTGATGTTTGAGTAATTATATCTGAGACAGGACTGGACAGGAAGCTATTTGAAAAAATCTGACCCGGTTTGGTACATTCATGAGGACTGGTTAATTCAGTCTCAGTTTTTAAATGTGAGACTTTTTTTTTTATTATTCAACAGGGCTGAGATGTTAATCCTTGCGTGGTGTTTTTACAGAGCCGCAGGTAGAAAAAAAAAAAGTGGAAACATGACACCAAAAAAAAAAAAAGGCTTGTGAAATAAGCGCAACAGTTTTAATTGAACTACTAGTGTTGTATTTGAGCCTGTGGCTGTATGACGGTAAACACAAGAGACGGAGCCAAAAATTTTAATAACCGTGAGGGCAGGCTGTTGTCGTTTGTCAAAGCAGCCGAGGCAAAAAAAAAACACAATGTGTCTTCAATGTATTACAAGACGGAAAGCGCAGATGATGCATTTAGTGTGTCGTTAACATTTCTTCTGTTTTGAGACGGCGTCATTTTTTAACTTTTTTTTAACTTTGAGTTTTAAGGGAAATTAGGTTTAGGATTTATGAGGTGCTTTCTTATTATTGATATCCAGCAGCCATCATGCTTCAACTGCGCAGGAGGAACATTGCTCTACAGAGAAATCCATCACTGTTAGCTTTCCTGCCTTATGTACAATGGCTTTATTTTGCATGCATGAGAATCTCAAATGGCATGAATCCCTGATAACTTCTGCATTTTAGAGTCTTAACATGAGAAATGATGTTTCTACAGATTACAATCAGGCCTTTACATTGAGCAGGAATTACTGAATTCAGTAGCTGTACTGTTGCCTTTCCTGATGTGGAATTGAATCCATTTCTCAAAAGAAAAAGGAGCTGAGTTACTTATGTGACCTTGGCAGCCAGATCAGCAATAACCACTTTCTCCTCCGCAGCAGGAAACACATTTGAACACAAGGTCAAAGCCGGACCATCCTTTCAAGAATCAAAAAAAAAAAAGTTTCCAACTCTCTGGACCAAGTCTAGAGCGACAGGTAAGAGATGTCCGCTCAGGCTGGCTTCACAAACAAGCAGAACTCAATTAGCTTGAATCCAGTGTATCACGGATGATAGAAAATGCATGAAATCAATAAAAAAAAAAAAACCGAGGGGAACACTTTGCATCAAACGATGATAGAGTGCCTGTCGTTTCATCTGGCAGATTGTGCAGATGCTGTAGCAGAAATGCAGTGCGTGTAAAATGATCTGTATTTGCTGAACAACACAGCTAAAGGGCTATTAACATGATTGCCTGCTATCATACTTCAGTGAATTGTCTTTTTTATATATATAATGCACGTCCAGTGGGGGCTGCTGGGTAAATAAATAACCTGCGCTGACTAGGGAAAGGCATTTACAGTAATCGAAATACTCGAGTACTCCCATTATCTAATGAACGAGTACACACACATAAATAATATGTCGGACAAGGACCTCCCTGTGGTCTGCTCTGTTGTCTGCAGTGTGCAGCTCATCAGTACTGTGTGTCTGAAGGACACCGGTCTTCAAATCGTAGTTCTGAATGAAATGATAAGTGACGGTATAACACATGACTCCATACTGAGAGCTGTCCTCGTGTCTGTAGTAACAGACACGTTGCTGTTCTGCACAATTCTTCTGCGCTTTCCCACATATATCGTTTCCACTCTCGTAGCTGTGGTTGTCACAGCTACGCCATCAGCTCACCTTCTCCTCTTTCCACAAAACATCACTGAAGCATATCTCCTGTCACTCTTTTCTTTATTAGTTTATCTGGACATAAAGACTAATCTTCCCTGCGCTGGTGTCATCACAAAGACCTGCGCTAACGGAGCTAGCAGATGTGAAGTGAGACTGCCTGTTATTTGTCTCCGCTGGTTTCTCCTGGTGCTTTAGGCTCATCAAACTATGCATTTCTATGATATGCAACACATAGCTTGCACTGCACGTTATCGTCGTTTGCTTTGTTTTTTTTTAAATGTGCCCTCGCCCTTCAGAGCAATGTTTACCCCTAGCTGCCGTAAAGCAGTTGCTGAGAGATTACTGAGTTTACTGTAGCATTGTTTCTGAGAGGTGTTGTTTTCTGCAGATTCATTATTGATTTTCGGTGAATTATTTAGAAACATGTTGACCTAAATGACCTCTTAATAGTCGGCTACAGATCCATGTCGCTAATGAAGTTGTTAGAATCTGTTAACAGCTTAGACATGTAGGTTATTTGAAGGTTTTTTTTTTAAAGATTGGGTTGAGTAATTTGGAGAAGAAGGTGCAGAATGATATGCTGGAAAGGAGCCGAGAGTCGGGCTCTAAAAGCGGGCGGTTTGAGGACTGGAGATTCTGTACATGGGGTTGTGCCGACTAACAGCCCGTCCACCGTGCATCTCCATTAACATAATGTGATGCGTTGAATTGTGAAAGAATAGTTGCTGATGGCGCGGTGGTTGGTGCGCCCGCCCCATGTACGGAGGCTGTGGTCCTCAAA